AAAAACGAATCGGCCGGGCTCTATTAAGAGCAGCAGCCGGCCCACAAATAGGTTTACACGAAACACACTCAACGGAGCAAGAATCGGGGCAAAATTTAGGGCAAACATGCTCCAAATTATAACAAAGCTTATACTTCTTGATCAAGCACCTTGCATGGCTCGGATTGTTCGCTATCCCCGGCGGAGTTGCTTCCGCCATCATCGATGCAATCACCACCAAAACCAACAACACCCAATACACATTCTTACTCATCAATGGCTTAGCCATTGATCAAATCAAATCAATAAAAAGACTAACTAGTGTTTAACCCTAATCAATAGTATATATATTCCCTATTATGTATGTATGTATGTATGTATGTATGTTTGCAATAATATTTATGAATGGGATATTTGAAATAGGCAAAAATAAGCCTATATTTATAGGAGTACGTACTTGTGAGTGATAGTGTGGGGTTCCTAATATTGTGGATCAATACTTGGCATTGTTAATGGATTGAGTAAGGGGGTTTAGTTTCTTCAAATGGCCATCTTCTAATAAAGTCAACGTTTCTATTAGTGTGGTGTTTTTAAATTTTAGGGTTAGCCAACCCAACCTTTTTTGGGGGCAGTTGCTTTTGAAGTGAATTTGGCATCACTTCACCATCAAGTTCATAAATGAACACTTTCCAGCACATGTTTATTTTTATTTAAATGTTTCCAGCACATGTTATCAAATTATTAAATTGCCATCTTAAGCGCCTAAGGATGTGTAAGATGTTGTATTCGCTGAAATACATCGGATAATTGTTAACCGTTAATGTGGTGAAATAATTTCCCTCTAAACCCAAATGCATGTGAATGTGTACGGTTTTGTGGAGATCAATGGTTAATAATCAACCGGTGAAATTGTGTATGATTATGTGCCGGTCAACGGTTAATAATCACCTGGTAAAACTGTGTATAATTATGTGCAGATCACAGTTGGTAATCACCCAGTGAAAAAATTATGTATGATTATGTGCAGATCACATTTGGTAATCACCCAGTGAAATTATGTATGATTTTGTGCAGATCAGTAGTTAATAATCACCGGATGTGGTTCACCGAGTGTAGCTCCATATAAACATATAAACCTGTAGAGATGCCTTAATTACTCACTTTGAATTTAATAGTATATATGAAAAAATGGATAAAAGTCTCCTACTGTTATTGTTATTAAACTAAATCTGAAACTAAATATCCCAATTTTCAAACCTCACAGCTAAATTCTTCTTTTTAATTAATATTTAATCTCATATTTAAGTGGTGCTTGCAAAAGTTTTCGAAAAAAATAAATAGCAAGTTGATGAAAAGAAAATAAAACACATTTTTGCCATCCTGAATGAGCATTATTATTTATATATACTGAAAATAAGCTTATTATTATATTTGGTCCACCACACAAATTATTGCATTAAAAATATAAAACGAGAGTGAGAGAGTCTGATAAATATCTGTGATTTAGCTATAAGCTTATCTGCACAAAAACCCATTGCTCTTTCCTCCACCTCAAAACCTTGCAACTTCCTTCGGTTTTCCTGCACCATTGCACAAACGAAAATCGGATTAGCTACTAATTAAGATTTTTTTTTATATTAAAGAGACCAAATGATATGATCGAGCACACGATTTTTGGGAAATAAAAACTATGTGGGATTGGAATTACTTACGAGAATTATGTGCTTCACTTAATGAGGATGCACCTAATGGGTGATCCCTCAGCACCGACCAATCTTAACGGTAGGCAATGCACTGAATATATTCCTGCTTTAACGTCATCAAGTTTCAGCCCTTCGACTAGGATGATTTCCTGAGGAACGTGGAGGAAAATTTGTAGGTGATTTATTAGCAACGGAATCTTGTTGGTAAAATATGTAGTCCTAATAATAAATATCTAGTTGAAGAAAACGCTTACCCTGCTTTTGAGGAAAACAAGATGAGCAGGGATTAGATCATCAAAAGCAGCGACAGACAAGTAATCAGTTCCTACAAGGAAGACAAACAAAAGGGTGGAATGATTAATTTGACAAACTGAAAGGATAGAAATGTTCAATTAGCGACAGATTTTTCCGTTACAAACAAGCAAAATCTGATTCGCAGGAGAAAAAAAAAATTAATCTGAAAATAATAGTAAATTTTACCAACGAGCTTGACGTCAGTGTTATCTACAAGCCATTGTGCCCCATCTTTCATGAATCCCACATAGCTTGTATCAAATGCCTTGTTGTACATGAGACCCCTAAGATTCATTTGTGTATATTCTCAATTAGAAACTCTCTCAGAGATAAATACAGTTTTACAGAACAATAGTATGTATTAATCAGATCTTGAAGGAGATATCCAAGATGCACATACTTTGCTATTGATATAATTACCTGTCTGTATTTAGTGTTCTGAAAAGTACTCTTTTTACTCCCTTAGGAATGTTTAAGGACTTCATAACTTTGGCTGAAAATGGAAAAGAGAGAGAGAGAGAGACACGTCAAAATTTTATATAAGCATGGAAAAGATCATCACATAAGTGCTGCACTGCATATAAATATGATATATACTGATATGTTTCGGTAAGCTAGTGCATATTCGATTTCATAGCTGCAAATTACTACATGCAAGCTTATATGCACAATCAGAACGTCATTTGATCCTATTGAGTACTGCATAGGCTTTATCTTGACATTAGTTGCAGAATAATGGCAAAGTTCTTTATTCTAGATACTATCAACCAGAGAGTGATCTGTTTCTTATTTGCTTTGGTCGAAACAGTGCCAAGTGTCAGCAGAAGCGTTTGCTTTGTTTCAGGGTAGAACATGGAAACAGATCATCAGAAAACAACTTCTATATATATTTACGAAGTTCACTTTAGCAACAACGGGTTCATGGTATAAAGCATGAGCATAACCTACAATTGGAGTTAAACATGTTCAACTACTGCTCATATCATAGCAAATCGGAAACAGAACAAACAATAAAGACTTGGTGAAAAAGTATAAGTGCCTCTCACAATTTGTTTTCAATTTTCTAGTTCACATAATACAGATGCCAAACTTCAACCAGATACTAAAATTCAGCAGCTATACCATGAACATAAATTAAATCATTTCGAGCATGCAAATGATGCAGTTCAAAAGTTAGACACAAAACAAGGAACTTTGCTTACCGGTTATATTTTGATCTCTTGGAACATCAACAAGTAATGCAGGACCTGTTCAAAAAAAAGAAAAAAGGCCATGAAGAACGCAATAAGGCAATTGAATCATTAAAAAGCAACACCAATGAATAATATATATGCAATAAGACACAAGCGAAAGAACTGCAACGAAGAACATGGAAACAAATCAATATATAACAAAACACCCTGAACCACCATATATTACCATTGAGGACTTTGAGGTCAAGAGTATCAACATCGTACCCTTCCTCGAAATAGTTTTCATACATATGTCCGGGCGCATCCACGTGAGTACCGGCGTGTGCAGGTAATCTCAACTCGGAATAATTATAGAGAGACCCGTTCTTCATACTGAACAACAGTGTAAGAAATTTGCCGATACCCTCGTTAGAAATACCCACCGGCGTATGAGGGGTGAATTTATGAGTAATATCGAATATACATCCATTATCATAAACTTCTCTTGTGATATGCTGCAACTTCGGGTCACTAACTCCGACACAAGTACCCGATCCATCACCATACGGAGACGGGTATGCAGAATCGGGTGACGGTATAGCCAAAGAAAGGAAAAGAATTGATTGAACTACAGCACAAATCAGCAAAAATTGCAGAGATCCCATTTTCTATCTCCCTTCTGAAGCAAATTCAGAATTTTCTTTTTTTCCTTACTGAAGTTTGAATACAGTATTGACTTGTATATATTGTTGTAGATAAGTGGTAGCTGTCTAAGAAGATTTTTCAACATAAAAATTTTCAGCGCAGACAAGTTGGACTTGGCTACGTATCTCTATTATAAGATTTCTTGTCCTATATCAAACCACGTGGGCTCATTACAACACAGAACAAAACAAAATTTGGGTCAACTGCGTCATTACAAAAAAGATTTACAGGCATCTTTCTATCTCCGGCATAATTAGAATATCAGGTAAGTATGACTTTGAATAATGATCAATTTAGTTGCGGAATTTCATCGAACACTTGGCCTTCACTAATTGATTAGTTTAGTAACACCAGTCCCTCGACAAAAGACAACACATGCGAACTGAAGTTTCAACAAGAGCTGCAATCTATCTATGTGGTGCTATGGGAGCCAAGAGCAAGTGTACTAGATGAAAATTGGCGCGAAAGCAAAAAAAAAAAAAAAAAAAAAATTGAATAGAAAAAACCAATCGACGGCTGAATTCATACCGTTGAGAACTTCGAGATCGAGCGTATCGACATCAAAACCAGCATCAAAGTAGTGATCGAACACGTGCCCCGGCGCGTCGACGTGTGTCCCGGTGTGAGTGGGGAGCTTCATCTCCGAGTTGTTAGCGAGCGAGCCATTCTTCATGCTCTTAGGAAGCCACAGGAGTTGCCCTACGCCGCCGTCAGACTCCCACGACGGCATCTCCGAATGGTACTGGTGGCTGATGTCGATGATACGACCACCTCCGTACACTTCACGGCGGACGGGGACGAGGTCATCGGCCGCGGAGATGGTGGCGCCGGTAGTACTGGTCAAGGTCTGATCAAGGCCGTACGGAGGAGGATACGCCGCGTTGGAGGTGGCGAGGGCGGACGGAAGCAGCAGCGCGTGCGCCAGTGCGCACGTTAGCAGGAAGGATTGCGACGGCGTCATCACGGAAAATTTTGGCCGGCAAAAGTAGAAGAAGAATTTGGGGATAGTAAAAATGTGCAGTGTGAGTTTCACTCTTGCTGAACTTCTAATTCGAACGGGTCGGGTCGGGTCGGGTCGGGTCAACAAATCAGGTGAACCTTATCCAACAATTGGTTGGGCCTTGGAATATGAAAAAACTTGAGCTGCAATTTTTGGGCTCTGATAAGCACCACTAAGTTAAATAAATAATATTATAAAACAAAACTTTAATAATTAATTAACATATGATTAATTGTAAATTTATGTGGTATTGTAATAGATATAACTAATTCGGAATAAAAATTAATAGATTTCATGCATAGATGATATATGCGAGGGATGTGATCAATGTCGTTTTCAGTTTTAGTAATGTCGTTCCGACTTCAAACATGATTTTGACTATTGTTTAGTCTGAATTTCGCAAATCTTTAAACACGAATTTTGTAGTTCATTGAGTTAGATTTCAAATGCAAACTGAATCACCAAGATTGAATGTCGGGTGAAAATATATAACTGAATCACTGAACAATGTTCACAACTTTGACGTTTTGATACATGTAAAATTCAAAATGTCATTGTTCCATGCACAACTTTTTCACGCTACATCCAATCTAGCTGATTCAAGTTGAAATAGAAAGCTAACTCGAATGACTATAGTTTTTATTTTTTGGATCATGCTAAAATCAAATTATAAAATGATCAAAATCACGTTCAAATTCAAGAGTTAAAACCATATTTGCATTTCAGTATATGGGACTGATGTGGGCTCGTCTAGCCCACATCAATAATAATATCAAGTCCAATAATCGTTGGGCCAAAATAATACGAACAGCATACAGTTTTGGTTCAGGGGCCTAAATCTCTTTTTTTTTTGTACATCCCAATTATTTATACGTAAAAATAATAAAAATAAATAAAAAGAGCAAAAAAAAAATGTGTGGTGGAATATGGAAAAATGAAATTGGTGGTGGGGAAATAAATGCAAAAAGCTTGAAATATCTTAGTTACATGGACATGGGGTTAAGACAAGGACTTCTGCATCCAGCTTCCAAGTGCTTGTCCGAAAACGATATGTCCTTTAAATAATAAATATGTATTTTACACCAAATTGAAATGGCACTTTTATTTTTCCCTTTTAATTATTATTTAAAATAAAGAAAATAAACTGTTTATTTGATTTTATTTTTTAATTGTCTCTTGATTGCATAAAATACATTGTAAATATAAGTTATTTGAACTAAAAAAAATGGAATAAAGTCGTTGAACTAACTACTAAGCGTCTAAGCCAGGTCATTCGATTCCGCAAGAATAGTATTGGTAATTTGGTACGGATTAGATAAATCCCAGTCAACATTGTGTGTTTTTATTTGACTCGTCATCACTTTCTACCTTTTATTTTTCGAAAAGATTTGATGCTACACTCGATAAAGTGAAATACGCTTGGCGATAATGATTATTACACATAATCACACATATTTACCAAAATGTAAGGATACTTAGTGGATAGTAATTTGTCAACATCAATGATTAGAAGTCATTCTTAGCACTAAATATTACATTAGACACATTTTGTATGTTAAGTTATAATTTTGTATATTTTGAGGAGAGTACTAGAAATATAAATAAATATAAAATAATTAATAGTTTAATTTTATTATTACAAAAATTTAATAAGTGGTACATTGCTGTGTCCAACTAAGGCAAAAAGCCCCACAGACTCGAAACACAATAAATAAAAACGAACCAAACACACCATAATAATAATTTCCCACTAATTCTTTTTCCCCCAACTAATTTTTTTCCACCATGCCAAACCCCAAACCCACTTTCTCACTCTTCTTCCTTCTTTCTCTCTCATCTATTCTCACTGTCCGATCAGCCACTTTTCCGGCGGACATCGCCGCCCTCCGCGCCTTCAAATCCGCCGTGAAACCCGCATCAATTCCCGCCACCTCCTGCCTCGCCACCTGGAACTTCTCCGCCGATCCATGCGCCGTCCCCAGGATCACCCACTTCACCTGCGGCGTCACCTGCTCCGGCGACCGAGTCGTTCAACTCACCCTCGACTCACAAGGCTACGCCGGAAAACTCACCCCGCTCATCTCCAAGCTCACCCAGCTCATCAACCTCGACATCGGCGACAACAGTTTCTACGGCGCAATCCCTTCTTCCATTTCATCTCTCCCCAATCTTAAGAACCTGATCCTCCGAGTCAACTCGTTCTCCGGCGCTCTTCCGCCGTCCATCGCATCCCTCAAGTCCCTCCAAACCCTCGATCTTTCCCGGAACTCGCTCTCCGGCTCGTTGCCGAACCTGAACTCACTCGCCGGACTAACGAGGCTCGACCTGAGCTACAACAAACTCACCGGATCACTCCCGAAGCTCCCACCGAACATGAACGAGTTAGCTCTGAAGGCTAACTCGCTCTCAGGGCCCCTCACTCAGTCCTCGTTCGACGGGTTAACTCGTCTGATGGTGGTGGAACTCAGCGAAAACTCGTTCACCGGAACGGTGGAACCCTGGCTCTTCCTCCTCCCTTCCCTACAGCAAGTTGACCTAGCGAAGAACGCCTTCACCGGCGTCTCCGTCTCCAAGCCGGCGCCGTCGCCGGCGAACCCCAACACCGAGCTGGTGGCGGTGGATTTGAGCTACAACAAAATAGAAGGGCTGCTCCCCGTAAACTTCGCGGAATATTCGATGCTACGCTCACTGGCGTTGAGTTACAACAAGTTCCGGGGACCAATCCCATGGCAGTACATGAGCAAGAAAGGATCGTCTCTTCAAAGACTATACCTCGACGGGAACTACCTGAACGGGTCTCCGCCGTCGGGATTTTTCTCCGGCGAGGGGCCGATCTCCGGCAGCCTGGGGGACAACTGCTTGCAGAGTTGCCCGGTTTCGTCGGAGCTTTGCTTGAAATCACAGAAACCAGTTTCGATTTGCCAGCAAGCGTATGGTGGGAAACCAAAGTCTTGATTGTGTCAGTCAATTTGTCTGCGCTTTTGTTTTCTTCTTTTACTTTATTTTTTAAATATTTAATTTTTTTTTTTGTTAGGTATTGTAACTTGTAAGTACAAATGTTTATTTATTTATTTATTACAAATGTAGCTGTTAGGACTAAGATTTTATGTAGTTTATAGATATTATTAATGTTGTAACAATAACATCGTCCAATAAATGTTACATCAGTTGATATTTTGCCGTCGATCTACATATACTTACGAGAGCGCTCGTTAGTGTGTATATGAATGTAAAGATGTAATCGATGTAATTCACTCTATGTAACATAGTATAAATCAAACATCTCTACTTGAGAGCGCTCGCTTTAATTGTGACTCGCTCTCTAATTGTCTATAATTTCACAAATTTCATATTTGTGATATAATATTCAAAATTTTATCCAAAAGCATTACTATTATAAAAGTTCAAAAATAATTTCTTTAACTCGCTGAGTTAATTATTAACTATTGATTTTATTTATTTACTCTTTTTTTTTTTTTTTGAAAAAAATCTGTCTCTATATGGTGTAGTAATTAATTAATCATTAAATTATAATTGTGTTGGATGTCAGAAGACTCTGATAATTGCAGTGACCAATTAAATTACCAACAAAACAAACCTTTCTGACTAAAACATTTTATTAATTGAAGTATGAAGAATCTCCAAGTTTATATATAATTATATACACACACTGCAACAAATGTATATTTGTATTCCCTCAAGAAAGTTGGTAGGGACTCGATCTATAACAGCCAGATGCTGCTATTTAAATAATAAAATAAATCTCAATTCAAATTTTGTTTTCAAATATATATACAAGTATTTATTCAGGACATAAATTTCCGTGTACGACAACGTAACTTAAATGTAAGCCATATGTACTACGAATATTGAATTTCAAGAGACCAGTGGGTTGTTACGCAATATTATCTCCAACTATTCTAATAAATATGATCAAAATACAGTAAAATCTTGATAAATTAATTATTTTATTTAAATAAAATAAAAATCGATTCCAGACTCACGGATTGTATGTTCAAAAACATTTCGAGCTCATCCTAATGTATTGATTTATAGATATCTAACTGCACATATTTTGAAAAATAATTATATCTTTTGAACAATCAAACATTATCAATACATATTGAACTATAAAGGGGGTTAATAAATTAATAATTGTTTTGGTAGGGAAGATTTTTTACATGACTCAGAAACAAAGATATCTTTATAGATATGAAAGCACATGCCGTTGTCTTCTTTTACTCATTATGGTTTGGTGCATTGTGATTCTCCAATCAATTCATGGCATCTTTTGGTAATTGTAAAATCTAACAAACTTCTAGTTATAATATTATGGATGCAAATATCTATCATTAATTAATCATAAGTTGTCCGGCATGTGTCATCGAGTATCAGACACGAAAAATTGAAGTTTTCTCGCCACACGGCTCATCAGTATTCATTTAGACACAACGATTTCGAATAATAAATTAAACCCGTACGCAACGACCTTTCGATAGAAAATTTTCCATTATCTTAGAAAATGAAATCAATTTCCATAACAAAAAAAAAATTGAAAAAATGAGAAACGATAAAATAAACGGTCACGTGTTGGGGCGAGCGGAAACAGCGGGCTTATCTTTGTCATTGGAAACAGGATCCATCTTGAAGCCAGGTGGCATAAACAGCTTCTGGCGTTCCCAACGGCCTTTGTCGCCACGGTACAACGACGGGTGCTTGTTGATGCTCCAGAAGCACTTGGTGCACCTGGACCGAACGGTGTAAGCCCAGAAAAAGCCGTGGCTTTTAGGGCTGATGTAGAGGTAGCACCAACGCATCGGGAAAGCAACCTGGAGGAAGCTGAAACGGTAGGTGGCGTTGGGCTGGAGCTGGAACAGGGAATTGCTCTTGTCCGTCATTTGGCACATGAACCAAATCGGGTACGTTCCGTCGTTCGCCAGCGTCACTTCCAGCTCAGGGAAGAGGTCGAACGCCGCCGCGCGATGGGAGGACGAGAGAATCGCCACCGCCACCACTGCCGTCGCTAGGGCGGTGAGATTCCTCGGGTTCGCCATCGTGTCCCACGGGAAAAGAGCGGAGGTGTGTGTGGGTGGGTGGTTTGATTATTCTTGTTTTTCTCCTCCTATATGGCGGAAGAATGAATGAATGAATGATATTGGTTTTTTTTTTTAGTTTGCCGTTTTTCTGTTTTCTATTTTTGGTATTTATTTAGTGGAACTTGTTTCACTTGTTTTTTAGAAATTTAAGGTGATTTATTATTGGTGTGAGGTTTAATTTTTTTTTTTTAATTCCAACAATTTAGATCCAAAATTTATAATTTAAAAAATAAATATTTCAATTTTCAAGATTCTAATTCTAGATACTTTCAGAATCTTTTTAGAAATGGAATTTGAAATAAAAGGAATATCAGAAAAAAAAGTTTAATCCATCCTATTTTCATCTCTAATAGATGCAATGAGATTAAAATGATTTTACATATAGAATAGAGGTTGAAGCATACATTTGGCAACAAATTGTCTGCATAATTTACCAAAGAAACAAAAGAATAGCGTTTGTGATCGATCATTATATATACGACAAAATTGGTAATCAAAATAAAAATGAAAATTACAGGCGCAGATGAAAACGTTTTACAAGAACCAAACCAGAAAATGTGAACCGATTCGTCTAAGTATCGGATGCAGATTGGAAGATGACAGCTGCAGTAAGAACTCCCACCACCGCTGTAACAACTAATGCTACTGTCGGCAATGGCGCTGTGAGCCCAAAATTCTGCAATTGAAGCGGAAAAATATGACTGAGTAGAACACCAAAATGGAACAAAGTAAATGAAATACCTTCATTATCTATCGATCTATAAGATCGAATCGGAAAACAAGACAACAATAACATATCATGGAAATCATTCATCGCCTGAAACCTAATTTTATCGAGGTTCATAAACACCGCCAACAAGGGCTAAAATTATTCTTATACTATGTCTTTCTTCGTTCAATATCTTTCGATAAAGACCACAAAAGTATAATTCTTGTTCTCTTTTATACATAAATCAGTAGACTAAGATTCTTAAGCAATATGCATCACCTGGTCTATATTATGTTACACCGGGTGAAATACACCGGTAGATTTTTACCATTCATATACACACAAACACCCACACACCCACATTGGTGTGTGTAGATCAATGGTAAAGATCCACCCAGTGTAGCATAGAAATAACCTGCAACACCTCAAATACTCGGCAACAAAATGCTACATTTCAAACACAATTAGAGTATATGCAATAGCATATGATATATGGCAGAGTGAAGAACTGAATATAGCCCGAGACGTAAATTAACAGAATCGGGGGGAGTTAAATAACAAAAATTAATATTAAATAAGGGTTAGCAGACAGTTTATTTACATCGAGCAGTCCTTTGCCAGTAGCGATTTCGACAGTAACGGCAGCAACAAAGCCGACCATTGCGAATCGGCCGAGCCATACGTCTATACCACTGCCCTCTTTGCTGCTCTGCTCACATCTTATGGAAACTGATTTTGAATTGCTGTACTTGTACACACAGTTTCTCCTCTGGTGCAAGGGTTTCTCAATCACTGAAAAAGGGCAATTATTTTGGCAATTACCAGCAGATCAATTTTTATTTTTTTTTGAAAAATTAATATTTTCCACCATTGGAAACTACAGTTGACAGCTACATAAAATTCAGAAGATGCAGAGATTTGAAAAGGGACCAATTCAAAAAACAGTGCTTACAAAGAGGGGAACCGGTGGCGAAAGAGGTTCCAAATTTGCGCGGGAAACGAGCGGAGGAAGCAGTTTTCGATGGATTCAAGGAGCAAATATCTGCAATTGAACATACAATATGTATATAATTACAGCGCAATGCGTGAAATTGAAACTGTAGTACGCGAAGCATCGAGTGTTGTACGGAAGGAATTGGGGAGTGGAGGAGTTCAAATCTCACCGCGGACTGAGGAGTAGCAGAGGGGAGGGTTATAAATCTTCGCCGCCGCGGCGGTGGTGGCGGTGGAGACGGCGGCCATTTCAGCTGAGACCTCTCAATTGATATCCCGGTGGAGTTTTTTTTTTTTTTTTTTTTTTTTTAACTTCTGTAGAAAACTCAGAGACCACCACGAAGAAAGAAGAGGATGTGGACACGTGTCACGTCTGGAGGCACTTAAAAAATTATGGCCCTCAATCGCGCGCTTTCGTGAGAGTTATATACTCGTTTTAAAACAACTAAAGTCGCATAATAGCTGGTGCGTTTTTTAGTTGTATAAGGGGGTATTTTGTATGTGTATTTAAGTATAGGGGTTTATTTGATAGTATTCAAAGTCTTGAGGGAGTATTTCATAATATTAGTATAGTTGAGGGAGTAAAGTGTATACTATTTATCTTTTAGGGTAAATTCCACTTTACCCCCTTGTACTCTGCCCAAGAACCACTTTACCCCTCGTACTCTTAATTTCGTCGATTTACCCCCTTATACTTGTACAATTTCCCAATACAACCTTCTTCGTCAACTTTTTTCGATGTTGACTCTGACGCCATTTGGTCAAGAGTCAAAATATTGACGTAAATATTGATTTTTTTCGATTTTGAATCTCGAGATTAGAAAAGATAAAGTTTCACACATTCATATATTTTTTTTTCTTTACACTGGGTGGAATCGATCAATTTTTTAGTCTTGATTTTTACTAAGTTAGGGGTTCAGTTTGGGGATATTTTGGAAGGGGAAGTGGTGGGAGAAGAAGAAATGACAATATTGACGGAGGAGAAACGACGTGTTATAGACAGTGTCAATTTTGTAATTTACAGAGTTAGACCAAATGGCGTTAGAGTCAAAATTGACAAAAAATGAAGGAAAGGGTTGTATTGGAAAATTGTACAAGTACAAGGGGGTAAAACGATAAAATTGAGAGTACGAGGGGTAAAGTGACTCTCAGGCAGAGTACGAGGGGTAAAGTGGAATTTACCCTATCTTTTATTTAAAAAGCGTTTTGCCGAGAAAGAAGAAGAAACGCTATTTGGTCAAAGTGCGACACTTGCAACGGCCAACGGACGGATATGCCGAGTAATGTACAGTATATATATAGTCTCTCTCTCTCTCTCTCTCTCTCTCTCTCATGATACAAAAGCCCACTCCAAAATCCCATCCACACCTCCATATCAGTCACCTTCAGAAGCTTCAAATCCATTTATTCGAAACAAATTCACAATAGCAATGTCTGTGGTTCTTCCCCATCCAGTCAGAACCCATCTCTGTAATTCATCAATTTACAAATTTAAGAAACACCCTCCGCCGGCGGCGGCGCCGGCTATTTTACCTCCGCCGTCGACTTTGTTGATGCGAATAAATTACTGCCCAAAATTCTCGTCGCGTAGAAATGGTCTTTTTATATCTCGGGCCGAAGACAAGGCCCGTGGCAGTTCTTCTACTCAACCCCAATCCGACTCAGACAATCAGCTTGAGGTCCTAATTTTCTTATCATTTCTTTAAATTATTTCTTCAATTAATTATCTCGGCAGATCGTATTTTTTATTTCACTAAAATTATAGTTCACATTCGAATTTCTAGATTTTATTCATTGCTCTAATGATAAGTTGATCCAGTGTATCTGTATTTGTATTTGGTATGAAATTGGTGAATGAATGCTCATCTTTTGGGGATAAATAGGAAAATTTGATATGGTGTACCATAAATAAATAAATCAATTAATTAAAAAAAAGACCCGAAAAGATATATGATTTAAACATTCAACTTGGAGTCCTGTTTTTCGAATCTGATTGAAGCAAATTTGTAAAACTATGTCGACGTAGGAATTGAATCCATCTGGAACATGTGACCCTTTGTGTTCAGTCGATGAAACAAGCTCCGAAGATTTCGAAGTCACCACTAACCAAGCCAAGACAGATTCGTTGAAAGCTTTTGCGATTCTAGCAGCTGCGGGTACCGGAGCAGGCGCAATCAATCATTCTTGGGTGGCAGAAAATCAGGTTCGTCGCCAGCTGTCTCGTAATTTCTAACTTCCCCCCATGAATGGAAAGAAGGGGGAAGAAAATCATTTGATGATAATTCAATTGTCGGAATAATTGCTCGGTGGGTGAATCAGGATCTTGCAATGGCATTGTTATTTGGACTTGGGTACGCCGGAATAATATTCGAAGAGTCTCTCGCCTTCAATAAAAGTGGAGTCGGGCTTTTGATGGCTGTTAGCTTGTGGGTTATAAGAAGCATTGGGGTAAGATTTTTTTTCTTCGTCGTTTAAATATACTGTCGAACCTAATTTATTTACGGCCTTACAAACTTCGTGCGCGCTCAATGAAATAATGGAATAGAACAATTTTCGGCAGGCTCCTTCAACTGAAGTAGCTGTTTCGGAGTTATCTCATGCTTCTGCTGAGGTCAGCGAGATAGTGTTTTTCTTGCTCGGTGCAATGACAATTGTCGAGATAGTTGATGCTCATCAAGGATTCAAGCTGGTCACGGATAACATCACCACTCGCAAACCGAGGACTCTGCTCTGGGTGGTAAATGTTTCTTGACAAACGCAAGATTTTTTTAATTAGTTTGCTAAAAAAATTCATGTTTGTGAACGAGATTTTATCGTACGGTGTTTGCTAATTGTGTTGCTACTAAACTTCAGATAGGTTTTGTGACATTCTTCCTCAGCTCAGTTCTTGATAACTTGACATCTACCATTGTAATGGTGTCATTGTTGAGAAAGTTGGTGCCTCCTTCAGAATATCGAAAGTAAGTCCCTCAAAGCCACTCGGTTTAGTTCATCAATTCAAATATCCGATGCTCCAGCTCAACTTGGTTAACGCGCATTTAAACAAGAAAAAAATAATATACAGATATATATAAGGAAGGGGTTTTATTGAATAGATCTGTTTGACAGGATTTTGGGTGCTGTAGTTGTTATAGCAGCAAATGCGGGTGGAGCTTGGACACCTATCGGTGATGTAACCACTACAATGCTTTGGATACATGGTCAAATATCCACATTGCAGACGATGAAGGTACTTTTGTTATGTTATCGTGTTATCGGTTCTTTCTTTAGCAGATCTCGTTTAGTATTTTATTTGATGTTGATTGAATCTTTGAAATTGGTTTTGTAAAATCGGGTTACTAGAAACAAACGCAAAAATCATATATTAAAAATCAAAATTCACCATTTGGATGAACCAAAATTTATTAGGTTCACTTGCGGTGTAGAAAATTTAAGTTCTTAAAAAATCACTCCCATTTTCACATCTTGTTCTGCGTTGACTCTTCCAACTGTAGCTTGTAATAACTTTTTTTTTTTTTTTGTTATTCTGAAGTTAACAAAAAAAATAGTCTTTAATTTCCTGTTTCTTGTACGGGCCCACAGGACCTAGTAATACCATCCATCGTTTCACTGGCTGTTCCTCTGGCTCTTATGTCCTTCACAAGGTACTTTTTTCCTTTGCAGAAAGCATAATAAATGCAAAATTCTCAAAAATCTCTCGAGTAATATAAATTCTTGATAAAAGAAGTAAGCTATAATTTATATTTTTTTTATCTTGATCCAGTGAAGTAAATGGAAAAGGGCAGGATGCAGCAGATGTATTGGCAACCGAACAGATGGCACCACGAGGCAAGCTCGTTTTCTCTGTAGGAATCGGTGCTCTGGTTTTTGTCCCCGTTTTCAAATCTTTAACGGGATTGCCCCCTTACATGGGCATGCTTCTTGGCCTCGGAGTTCTTTGGATCCTCACAGATGCCATTCACTACGGTGAATCTGAGAGACAACGTTTGAAAGTACCACAGGCTTTATCAAGAATCGACACTCAAGGAGCTCTTTTCTTCCTCGGTATTCTCCTCTCTGTCAGCAGGTACTCTTCGCCCGTTATATACCATGAGTTATATATATATATATATATATATATATATATATGATTTATTTTATTTTATTGACAGCCTGGAGGCAGCAGGTATTTTACGGGAACTAGCAAATTACCTCGACTCGCATATTCCGAATATAGAACTGATAGCGAGTTCGATCGGAGTTGTATCGGCAATTATAGACAATGTGCCGTTAGTTGCTGCAACAATGGGAATGTATGACTTAACTTCTTTTCCTCGAGATTCGGAATTTTGGCAGCTAGTGGCATATTGTGCCGGTACAGGTGGGTCCATGCTAATCATCGGATCTGCTGCTGGTGTTGCGTTTATGGGGATGGAGAAAATCGACTTCTTTTGGTACTTCAAGAAGGTACGCAATAATATTGATTGATGTACGCAATAATATCATCTTGTGATTTTTTTATTTTTTAATAGGTAACTGGCTTTGCTTTTGCTGGTTATGCTGCTGGGATTGCTGCATATCTGGCTGTTCATAATCTGAGTATTTCGGTTCCGACAACTCTAGCTGAGATTCCGTTTCTTTCTGGTTCGTAAGTAACGAAGGGAGTTGATCTGTTAATGTTATCAAGTGTATCAATGAATGTAATTCTGTAGTTTATAATAGTGAACTCGTTCTGTATATTTTTTGCTTAGACAAAGACACTCAATAAGGGCAAGGGCAAAACCGTACATTGTATGAGCGAAGATGTTGGTTACGAAGAAGCCCTCCAAATTTTGTTGTGGAAATGTAACATCGACTTTTTTATTGTGCAAAAATAAGATTGTTCAAGAATGCCTGCATTTGTCTGTGATTTCCTGAAATTTTTTTTTTTTTTTTTGGTGGTAGAATTAATTATAAATTTAGTGTTTCTTGATAAAAGACAATGCTTAAAACAAACATACTTAAATTAACTCCATATCAAATACTAATTTTAAGAAGCAATTCAAATTGAGAACTAATAATTTAAAATATAGGGTCTAATTGCAAAACTTGATACAACTCTCACCCTCCAACAAAGCAAAACACATACTTCAATTATTTAATTTCACAAACTAAAAAAAAACCATCAAAATTGGCGAAAGCAAAACAAACACCCTACAATTTGAGGTAAACGAGTTCCTCGACAGCAGAAATCTCGCCGATCCGCCTCAATGCCGCCTTGCTCGGCTCCTCGTCCACCCCAATAGCCATAACCGCCTGCTTCCTCGGAGCAATCCTCCCCACAGTCATAAAGCTGACATTCACATTCTCCTCTCCCAAAATACTCCCCACTTTCCCAATCATACCTGGCTGGTCAACTTGCCTGCACAGTATAATACTCCCCTCCAAGCTAACATCCACTTCGAACGACCCCACCTTAGTCAAATGCGGGACCCCATCTTTCACGTGCCCCTCCACTTTAATCTCGCCCGAATCTGACATGGCACTATGAAATTTCGATTCGACGTTTGCGATCTGGACCTGGATTAGTTCGAGTGGGTTTTCCGGGGAACCGTCTAGTGTGACCCTTTCTTCGGTTATTCGGATTCCTCTTTGCTTTGCGGTGAAATCTGCATTGACTAGGTTTACGAAGACGCTCGAGATTGGCTCGATTAGACCCTTTGTGATCATGGCTCGGAGGAGCCTTGTGTCGAGGTCGTCGGGTGCTCGAGCGGAGGCGTAGGTCACTTTTACGGTTTTGACCCCGCTGCCGCCGGCAACTAGTTGGACGGCGAGGCGGCCGAGCTTTTCAGAGAGGGCTACGTAGGGTTTCAGCTCCGTGAGGACCTGGGATTTATATTACAAAAAAAATTCAGTGATTTTCTTGATAATGCAAATCCATATAGGTCTCATTTAGTTGGTAAGATTAGCCATGGTTAATTAAATAATTGGACCTTATTGGATGTTTGGTTAGTCCAATAACTTTTATTTTTGGTACTACATATTTCCACCTAAGACCAATATCTGATGTATAAACTACAAAACGAAAGGTTGCAATGTCAAGTACATTAAAGATACACTACCTCTGACCTGACAGTAAACACTATGCTCAGAAGTTTATGATTCATATATGTTCCTGTTACGAAATCTGTATAATATTTGGGGTTCGGGATGTTTTAACAAGACAGAGAAAATCTCGACCTTTTAAAAATGAAGAGTTAGTTTGACATTTTTCGCCCTCCAATAGAAACAAGAGTTGGCATGAATGAAGGACATAAAAGTAATTTGGAGGTGTACCTGAGCAGGAACCATGGGTGCGTTGACAGCAGTGGAAGCAAGCTCCCCCTTCAAAGCTCCAACAACAGCTTCAGCTATTTCAATGGCAACCCCTTCCTGTATATATATTCAAACACAATCATCGCAAAAATTATTTTGAGAGAGAGAGAGAAAGAAAGAGAGCTGCATTCAGCATACCTGAGCTTCCATTGTACTGGCACCAAGATGTGGAGTTGCAATTACATTTTCATTTTGTACCAACTTGCTATCCTTTGCCGGAGGCTCTTCTGTGAATACATCAAGTGCTGCCTGAAATCACACAGCGCATAATTAGCATTAGGCTCTGGTTAGTTTATGGATTTTGGAACGAGGAAAATGAAAATGCAAAAGCAAATGAAAACAAAGAATTTAACAATATTTAGGATTTTTGGATCTCTAGTATAAAGTAAACGATTCTTTCTTCTTCTCCGAGTACAAAGAACAAACCTGAGCCACAATGCCAGCATCAATGGCCTTCACAAGCGCATCCTCGTCAATCACACCTCCACGCGCAACATTAACGATTCTAACACCCTTTTTCATCTTCGCAAAAGTTTCGTCGTTCAGAATTTTCGAGGTAGCGGCGGTGAGTGGCATGTGAAGGGAGATGAAGTCAGCAGTTCCAATAGCTTCATCAAAGCTCACAAGTTCTACACCTATTGCACGTGCACGGTCAGCAGGGGCATAGGGATCGTGTGCAATGACATTCATACCAAGCCCCTTTGCACGCCTGGCAACTTCTGATCCAACCTTACCGAATCCCATCACAGCTAGTGTCTTGCCGACAAGAGATACACCCACATATTTGCTCCTCAACCATTTACCTAGTTTAATCACAACATAATAACTTGAGAAATTTCTCCAATATATCATTTCTTATTATCTAGAAAAAAAAAAAAAAAAAAAAAAGTGCCCACAACCACTACACCTGATAGGCTAATATGTAAAGTCCAATGAATTGTATCATGGAATTTTTTTTTTTTTTAAAGTCAAGAATCCTTGATGTATAATTCCTATATTTCTGTATTTTCAATCCAATTTTGAGACAAACATTATAATCCAGTTTTGCATTTCTGGCTGTGAGAGATAGAAATGCATGGCACGGTACAAAACAAAGGATATATGGAGCATATGAGAGGGTATAAAGTTCGTATGAATGACGATTATTCAAAGGTATTCTCGTGTACAATGAATCGTTACTATGTGAGATATTCGAAAGCTCAATGACAATGGCATTCAAAATTAAAAAGACAGTCACACCCACGATTCAACTATCACATGCTAAATTTGAGTCGAAAGAAATATAAGCAGAGTTGCTTCCGCAGGTGATCTCCAGATTATATTAGTATCTTCCATCTCACTACAATAGAAAAACTTTTGGGGATTCTTTATTTTATAACTTCGCAAATTCCAAAAGGAATCAGATCTGACAGAACAGCCACAGCGTTAGTCACATTTCCAATTTAATCTAAAAACAAAAAATTCACAAATCAAAAATAAAATCCACCACATTAGAATAATCCTAAAAGCAATTAAAGCATACTGTTCGAAGAAATGCCTGACAGAGTTCTGGCACTCGAATAACATCACCGGAAACAGAAGCAAAAAGTGAAGCAGGCAAAATATTAAGAATTAATTACTAACCAGCTTTGACAGAGGCATCAGCTTGAGCAATGTTTCTGGCCATGGCAGTGATTAGAGCGATACCGTGCTCCGCCGCAGCGACGGTGTTAGCAGTCGGCGCATTGACCACAAGACATCCGTGCTCAGTCGCCGCCGCCAGATCTACGTTGTCAATACCAACGCCAGCTCTTCCGACGACCTTCAACCTACCGGCGGAGGACTCAAACACCTCCCGGCTCACCTTGGTCGCACTCCTGACAATCAGCGCGTCGCAGAGTGAGATCTTGGTGCAGAGCTCCTCGGGGCTGAGGTTATAAGAGCAGTCCACGTTAGCGAATTCCTTGAGGAGCTTCACCCCCGCCTCGCCGAGCTTTTCGGCTACGAGAATCGTCGGCTTCGCGTCCATCGAGAGGACGACGAATCGGCGGGGTTGGTCGCGGTGGCGGCGGAAGGAGAGGGCGGTGACGCCGAAAGTGGTGGAGAGGGGGCGCCGCTGGCTCAGCCATAAGCCGTTGGTGGACGCGGCTGAGGGTTTAAGGCTCGTCGACGAAGCTGATGCCGCCATTTCAGAATCTGCTTCGTACGGTGGTGTGAGCTAACTTGCGCCGGAATGCGATGTGTGTGTGTGTGTGTGTGTGTGTGGGTTTAGAATTGAGATGCGCTATTGGGATTTATGCTGTTTGGGGTTTTGTAGGCAACGAGTGAAGTATTTAACTATTTATACCAAAAAATTAAAATAAAAAAAATTGTTCAATTTCATTTTCTTAATTATCACTACATTAATCTAGTAATTTGTTTTACTCACAAAATAAACATGAAATAAAATATTATAATAATTATTAATTTAGCAAAAAATAATGAAATTGTTATTTCTATTGTTATTGATCCAATTTTTTTCCTATCGGTTAATTTAATATTTCCAATAACAAATCTTGAATGAAGTTTCTAAATTCTTAGACTGAAGGTCTTTTTCTTAGATACTATTGTTAGAGGGTTGGTGTTTTGGCTAAGCTTATAAGATGTTAAAAGGAGCTTATAAGGGCATCTCCAAGGTTAGATGTTAAAAACAGGAATGCTATATCTATAATAGCTGATGAACAGTGCTATAGCAACTCAGTTTTTACTATCCTGATCCAACCATATCATCTATATTTTAGCATTTTATTATATTTTATTACTTTTTTTATTTGATTATAAAAGATATTTATAATTAATATATATTTAATTAAACTTAAATAAATAATATTATAATTAATAGATGATAAAACTTAAATATATAATAAATAAATTTAGATATTTAAATAAATAATATTATAATTAAACTTAAATTTAAATAAATAAATATAGATATTTAAATAAATATATTTATTATAATTAATATTATAATAAATAAGCAATTAAACAAAACTTAACTAAATAATTAAACTTAAATAAAAAGACATTTCTAGGATAAAGAAATTAAATCAAACAAGAAAAAAGAAAAGAAAAATAAATCCTAGCCCATTTTGGGCCTGACACGTGACTATTATAATTAAAATAGAGTGAAAAGCTTTATTATTTTAATATTTTTTCATTTAGCATTTGTGTGTAGTAGCTGGTATATATACCAGATGGGTTTCTCTTTATACATGACATGCTAAAATTTAGCTTATCCGTTGGAGATGAATTTTTGGGTCACAAATGCTATAATTCTGATTTTTTAGCATATAGCAGCTTCAAACCTTGATGGTTGGAGATGCTCTAAGATGTTTTAGAGCTTATAAGCTCTTTCAAAGGGTTTGGTAAATATTTAGAAAAATATCTTAATTTTTTTTAAAATAAGTTGTTGGAGACTAAATAAGATCTTTTTAAATAAGTACATCTACCCCACCTTTTTATTTAAGATATTATAATGAGTAAAAATAGGAAATAAACTCATTATCCAAACACTCTAAAAATTAATTATAAAAATAAGATGTAACAACTTATCAGCTCTAAAAACATCTTATCAGACGTAATAGCGTATCAGCTGTTTAAAATAAGCTTAGCCAAACACCCTCTTAATTTACTTCCCTATTTTGCTCAAAGAATTATTCCGAATTAAAATAATGTATTTTTTGGAATATCTAATGGGACCCACAAAAGATGGTGGAGGTCCAAAATATCAACTTGGCTTCTCTAGTTGATTTATCAATTATGATTTATGTTTGGAGTTGGTGGCTTCTTTAAATATTAAAAATTAAAAATTAAAAATTAAAAATTAAAAATTAAAAAAAAAAAAATTAGAAATAAAAATTAAAAATTAAAAATTAAGTGAAGTTTATTTAGGGGGGAAATCATCCCTTCTAAATTTGGTAATAGGAATATGATATAACAATATATATTCGATTGTGATGCTATTTGTAATTTATATTGAAAGCCCCAAAGTTGTTGGACTAGCAGCTCACTCGAATATGGGCTTTATTGAATTAAAAAAGCAAATATGGGCTTCATTATTCCAAGTGAAGAATCAAACATTGGGTCAAAGAATGCAATTAATTACTGTATTTTCAATTTTGCTCATATTAATTATCACAAAGAAAAATAGCAATCAATAAAGAGAGATTTGAAAGTAATATTTTGGTCCTATTATATAATAATTTAAGCTTCATACATACTTAATAGTTTTTGATCCGGTCGAAAAAACACTTCAACCATAGTGAGCCCCCTTTGCAATTGCAGTAGAAGTTGTGATCAAGCTGCTAAGAAAGGAGAGCCGGCCTAACGATAGAATTAATACTCCAACAGTCAAGTCAGTAGGGAATTACAAATATTTTAAGGATAAATTTGTGTATATTTTAGGAGAAAGAAAATGGATTGGGCTTGATATGTATATAAAAACTTACCTTCCATAGGAGGGGGCAAGCTCCTAAAAATTGGGGCGAGCTTATACCTGCTGCCGCTTCGGTCGCCCTCCCTACCATCTTTTCTTTCTTCTTCAGACAGCCTAAGTTATCATTCTCATCTAATCAGTCGGCACTACCTCGTAAGATTCCTAGGTGGGTAGCCTTTCCCCACGTCTTCTTAGGCTTTTACCCTTTTTCGACTATCACTGGTCACTCGGGCATTAAATGTTGGTGTCAGCGTATTTAATTTGCCAGCGTATGCGTAAGACGCACAATGCACCTGTCAGAGTCATTAATGCGCCCCTCCGTACCTGCCATGGTCATTAATACCCTGAACATATCTATCACGGCGACTCTACAAGCACCGTAGTTCATATACTCATTCGGGCCGGTGCGGCCAGTTCCCCTCGTTCGAACTTGATGAGACGATGAGGGGACCTTGGCATGAGCTATCTTTTGGGTTGAACCTCTCGATGGGCCTTAGTGGGCTTCGCCTCCTAGCCGCGTTCTTATCCGGATCAATTTTTATAATACATACGTCGAAATTTTAAACAATATTTAATTTGAAAAGAAAAGGGTAATAAATATTAACATAAAATGGAATAATTTATTTTGTCGGCAAATTAATCAGACAAAAGAAGTGAGAGGAAAATTCACATGCTTTTAAACTTGCCATCAACTAATCAACTTTCCTCCTCTTTTTTTCACAACACATTGACCAACAACTCTCACAAAGAAAATGCAATAAACTTTAATAATCATGTTTACTTTCTTAACAACAAAGCAAATATTTAATGACACTCACCATCTCAATAACCCTAAATTAATTAACAAATCTAATCAATCACCTTAATTAATTAATTATGAACAAAAGATTAATTCACCACTCTCACACTCCAAAGTCAAAAAAGGAGGAGACTCCTTTTTTATGCCCTTTTTCTTTTCCTCCCAAACAACAATCATTAATTATTCTTAAAAAATAAAATAAAAACAATCATTAATTAATTCGAACAACATGGAATCTTTTCCAACACATGAACCGCATCTTTCATGCAGGGTCTCTTCTGTGGGGCCAACGAGGCACAGCTAAACCCTAGCTTAAACCATGCCAACACAGCCTCCTCCCTGCCCGCCACGTCACCCCTTATCGCCACATCAGCCATCCTCAGAACCCGGGCCGGATCCTCCGCAACCGAACCGGCGGTCCACTGGCCCAACTCCCGGTCGGAGAAGACCTTCCCGGTCAGCAGCTCCAGCAGCACGATTCCGAAAGAATAGACGTCCCACTTGGGGTTAGGCTTGAGGGTCTTGAGCGACTCCGGCGCGTGATACGGAGATGTGCAGCCCACGAACCCGGCCCGGCCCATATTCGGGCTGCCGTGAACCGGCTGGTCGGTTGATCTCATGCTGCCGTAATGCCGGGCCGGGCCGTCGGATTTGCGGGTGTACTTGCCGTGGATGAGGCGGTGCAGCCCGAAATCGCTTATTATGGGATCCATATCGGGGGTTAGGAGAATGTTGCTGGGTTTGATGTTGCCGTGGACGTTGTTTTTGCTGTGGATGTAGGTTAGCCCCTTGGCTACGCCTTTTGCTATCTTGAGCCGCGTTTCGAACGGCAAGTGGTACGGTGATGACCCGATTTTCCCTGAAATATATTTGATCATGAAATATATCAATATTATTGGCATTGTTATATCAATATAGTTTTAGAGATGTATAAAATTACGCACCCCTAGAATTCAACAGAAAATTGATAAAACTCTCAATTTTTTTTATTTTTTTTTAATTAAATTCAAAATTATATCTATTGAATACAAGCCCTAAACACTTATTTTAACTGAAAACGATAATTAAACTAGAAAAATTACGAAAAATGGCAAAAGAACAAGAAAAGTCATAATTCTAATAGCATTCCTAGAAACAACACGGATTTGTAATCGATCCGATTATATATAAATTTTCAAATATTTCCTACAATAGCAAAAATGTCGTTTTGAAAGCCTAAAAGACGTGGATCGTGGAAAACTCGACTTGCATCTCAAGATTTGCTCAAAGAGTGTTGTTGATCACCATTTTGCTTTCAAACTCAGATAATAAGAAGATTACCCGAAAAAATCTCTATTTTTGTTCGATATTTCCATTAATAATCATTCTCCTAATTAGATAACTAGTTATCAGTTATGCATATCTCTCTCTCTCTCCCTCTCTCTCTATCTCTCTCTCTCTCACACACACACACACAGTGAGTGCGTGGGCACGGAGGGCTACGAGGTAAGGTAGGTCATGCTTTTGGATTACTATGTGTTTTGTCTGTGTAGAGATTTTCAACCTTATTTGCACCTCACATGGGGAAGAACACACTGTATTTAGTATGAGGTCCCAAAATATTGTCTTATCTATTTTTTTATTTTTTATTATTATTATTTTTTTCTCACAAAATCAAAATTAAAATATGGATACTATAGTTTGAAAGAGACTTTGCAATGCCTACAATGAGAATGTTTCTCTATGATTATGTATCAAAAAAAAAAAATTAAAAAAATGTTTTAATTCCGAAATTTGAAGAATTTGAATATAATTTGAATAAATAGAATTATAATAATAATAAAAAAGAAAACTTACTGTAACCAATATTGGCCAAGCTGCCATTGCTGACGTAATCACAGATGACAAGCTTCTCGTCATCTCCCCAATAGAAACCCCTGACACGGACTAGATTCTGGTGGCGCATTTTAGCAATCGCCCTAACTTGTTGTTCGAATTTCTTCAATCTCCGAGCGCCGCCGCCGCTCTCTCCGATTCTCCTCACGGCGAACGCCGTCCCGTCCTGAAGCACTGCCTTGTAGACGACGCCGGCGCCGCTCGATCCGAGAACGTAAGCGGAAGCCTTGAACAGCGTGTCCATTTCCAGATCGGTTTCGCCGTCAACCATCACGAGTGACCTAATTTCTCGATTACTTGATTCTTCTTCGGCGGCGTAGTTTGTGCTGCTCTGATCCTCGCTTTCTGATTCCGTTGTTGCTTCCTCCGACGTTTCCTCGCCGTTCGTTATTCTCAGGCAAGTCCACGTCGGCAGATTTCTCGTCTCCTTCACCGTTGATTGGTCGGAATCTTTCTCGAATTCGTACGCCTTGATTGTTGTAATTGAGCTTGCGCCTTGTTTGGTTTCAGTTTCATTCAATTTCCTCTTCTTCTTTTGGTGGATGAACAGAAAAATGGCAGCAAGTACTCCAACTCCGGCCAAAGGCACCACCGCGATTCCCGCTATCGCCGCCGGTTTCAGCCCTTTCGCCGGCGGAATTCCAGCTCCGGCCGCTGTTGTTCCGGAAGAATCCGGAACCGTAGAGGAATCCATTGTCTTAGGTATAGCTGCAATCGCCGGCGAAGACGTAGATGAAGTGTTTGTGGAAATGCCATTTGGTGGTGTCGAAAGTGTTGAAGGAATCGTGCAGAGTTTCTTCATCGGTTTACCGCACAAGCCTTCGTTTCCTGCGTAAAACTCCGTTTTCTGATTGGTCAAGGGCACTACCTCTGGAATCTCACCCGAAAGATCGTTGAACGAAAGATCAACAACAGCATCTGCAGGAATTTTCTTGGCAAATTCTTGAGGCACCAAACCAGATATCTTATTCGAAGAAAGATTCAAGTACTTCAAATTAACCCCACCGAATTCGACAGGCAAAGACCCGCTCAACAGATTCGAAGACAAGTCCAAGATTTCGAAAGATCGAATCCCACTAGGAACGAAGCCCGTAAGATAGTTACTCCTCAACGAAACCACACTGAGATTCTGCAGAGAAGTTATCCCACTAGGGATAGTCCCCGTGAATGCATTATCTGATAGATTGAGAAGTTTGAGGTTGCTTTTCGAGGCCGTAATAAACTCCGGAATCGTACCGGAGATCGCATTGTTCGACAGAGAAAGCACCTCGAGTTCCGAGGCGTTGAAGAGTGAAATAGGCAAAGTCCCGTTCAAGAAATTGCTCGAGAGATCGAGTTTTTTCAGATGCGGGATGAAACCTAAGTAAGCTGGTATGACACCAAGGAGTTGGAAATTCGGGAGAGTTAGGCCGACGACTCTGAACATATCAGGTACGCCGATGGAGTTTTGAACCTCGGCACACGTCACACCCGTCCATAAACACGGAGTGGCGTCGTTGTAATTCCAGTTGTCGAGAACCGACAAAGGGTCGTCGATGATTGAGTATTTGAAAGAGAGAAGAAGACTCCCGTCAAAGTTGAGCCCGAATGCAGGCGAAACCAAGACGAGGAAAAACAGAGGAAATAAAGTGCAAATATGCATATTTTTCGAGTTCATTTTTTTTTGTTTTTTTTTTTCAAGAAGATTAAAGCACATAGAAATGCATAGTGAGAGAAAGCCCCTATTTGATGAGGAAGAAAGAGAGAGGGTAAACAACTACTTGAGATGTTTGTTTTGGTGAACCAGAAAAAGAAGAGATGGGGAATGATAGAGAAAGTTGGTGTGAAGAGATGGATAATTAATAATAATAAGAGATGAAGGATAATTTGAAAGTGAAATGTGTTGGAGTTTAATGGCTATTAAATATATTTTTATTTTTATTTTAGTGTTGAAATATTTGTAGTTATTGGTGTCAATACTCTGTTGAATTGTTGCAAGAACTTTAGTTCTAGTTGCATTGATTTAGGAAGGAAAAGCAGAAAGTGGAATCTTTGTAGTATTTTTTGTGTTCTTGTAATAAGACATTGACAGATGAGTTTGGGCCCCACCAGATTATATGTGGAGTAGCTCAAGTCCAGATTCTAATGACTTTTCTTTTCCCCCATACCACTAGTCCGTTTTTTTTTTAATAAAAAATTATTTTTTTTAATAATAATTTTTTTACCATGATTTTGTTTGATTGTTGTTATTGAATATGATTAACTAATTAGTAAAGGATATATATTTGGCTAAGGAGGATTCGAAATGACAATTTTGTCCATAAAATATCATACAAATTATTGTTAAACAATAAATTTTATATAAATTGCATCTAGAAATAGGTTTGGATAAATTTAATACATATATATTCTAATATGAGAAAAATAAATAACTAGTAGGGGAGTTGGTATAATTCAATAATATTCAGATCAAGAGTCTGGTTGACTAAATTTATTTTTAAATACATGAGAAACTCTTATATCTGATAAGATGTTTCAAGAATTGATAAGCTGTTAGGAATTACTTTTAAAATTATTATTAAAGTGTTTGAATTATAATGATTTTATAAGCTATTTTTACTAATTATAATAGAGATACTTTTTAAAAAATTATCTTATTCAGTTATTTGTTCTCGGCAACTTATTTTTTGAATTTTAAAAATCGAACACTTTGAAAGAGCTTATAAGCTCTTAAACATCTTATAAGTTTAGAGGGTGTTTGGCTAAGCTTATTTTAAACAGCTGATAATCTCTTAAGTCTGATAAGATGTTTTTAGAGCTGATAAGCTGTTACATCTTATTTTTTGGATTAATTTTTAAAGTGTTTGGATAATGAACATATTTCCTATTTTTACTCATTATAAGATCTTAAATAAAAAATTGGGGTAGATGTAGTTTTTTAAAAAGATCTTATTTGCTCTCTAACAGCTTATTTTTTAAAAAATTAAGATTTTTTTTTTTAAATTTACCAAACACTTTGGAAGAGCTTATAAGTTCTAAAACATCTTATAAGCTCCTTTTAACATCTTATAAGCTTAGCCAAACACCCTCTTAGTCAAATTAAACGCCCTCTAATACCATTAATATATTATACCATCGAACGATGCCTATGTTTTAAAAAAAAAATTCTAAACAAAATACTTCAAGACAACCTTGTACTCTATATATTGCTTAGTTTTGATGACTTTTTTTAGGCTTTTGCAGTGTCTTTTTTTTCTTGGAACTACTAAATATAATTTAGTGTAGCTCGTGGGGGCTGACAGCAGATTGAAATTTTCCTTGTATTGTAGACAAACTACAATATGGGAGTGTTCTTTGTAAAAAGTGATCAAAATTTAATGTAATTAATAACCATGCTCCTAAATTTATGATGGTGAAACCCTAAAAATTAAATTTGTTTTACAGCCCATGCATATTTCATGCAGTAGGTTATGGGCGTCTTTTGAAGAAGCTGGGTGAGTTTTAATAATTAATATACAAGTATTAATATTTATCAGAAAATAAATAAATAAATAATATAGTGAGTTCAAGAATCATATTTTACTTGATTCTTTAAATTCAAATTCAAAACCCTCGTATATATTTGAAATTTGAAAAATTCATCGATAAATGAATGAAATTTGGTGGTAGTGCAATCATGTAGCTGGTGATTTCACCGTAGTTGAAAACAATAAAATGTCAAAAAGTATATATTTTCATAAAAAATCAGGAGTATAAAACAAATATTACTTAGCAGGTAAACTATATTTTATTTATCTTTTTTCGCGTATCAACAGAACTACAGAGAGAGAGAGAGAGAGAGAGAGAGAGAGAGAGAGAGAGAGAGAGAGAGAGAGAGAGAGAGAGAGACCTACGTCAAACTCTAATTATTTAATTAATTGAATTTTCACGTGCATGTGATTTGGCTAACTAATCTAATTCAAAAGACAACGTCCATCAAACATATTTTGTACAGCATCTGCACAATTATCAACGTACAGTACAGTTTATTTGCTGTTAAACTTAGAATGGTTTAGGTGAGACATTAAATAATAAATTAGTTTGGAGATCTCAAATATATTATTTAATTAATTTATTTTAAATAATTAGTGGTTTTGGTTAAATAATTCACCTCACCTGCCTATGATTTTGATATTATCCCATACATTTTTAATAATTTATAATACAAATGCATCCTTATAATTATAAGTTAGTATAGGTTGTTAAGGGTCAACTCGATGTTATCTTTTTTCCTTTTCAAATAGACAATTCATCCTACCTAAAACCCTATATACACACACATATTATAAGACTAAAGAAACCCTTCTAGGGTTGTATATATTTGGGTTGGAAAAATATAATTTTGATTACAAATCTTGAAGAAATTGCTGTAATATTTCCATAAAATTAAAGAAGTCTCCAACCCTTTTTCTTTACTTTGGCCTTATAAATTGGCTTACGATCACGAACCCGACGAGAATATAGAACCATTGACCTAATAGATATTAGCCTCCTCACTTAATCAAAATACTACTCGCCACTCGCGGGCAATGCGTTCACGGTGAAGTGACGGTCTCCAAATTCACCGTATTCATTCAAACGTTAGAATTAGTTCGAACTAGCTAGGAATTTCAAATGGAATGTAATAATAAATTAATCTAAAACAAGCTTAATATATAAATTAGTTAGTTAGAGGGTGTTTGGCTATAGCTTATAAAATGTTAAAATGAGCTTATAAGATGTTTTAGAGCTTATAAGATGTAATTTAAAAAAAAAAAGATCTTATTTTTTTTTTAAAATAAGTTGTTGGAGAGTAAATAAGATCTTTTTAAATAAGTACCTCTACCCCACCTTTTTATTTAAGATCTTTTAATGAGTAAAAATAGGAAATAAGCTCATTATCCAAACACCCTAAAAATTTATCCTAAAAATAAGATGTAACAGTTTATTAGCTCTAAAAACATCTTATCAGACGTAAGAGTTTATCAGTTGTTTAAAATAATTTAGCCAAACACCTTCTTAATGTGTGCATGTTGGGTTTCCATTCAAGTTTTGCATATTAATTTGAATAACAAAGCAACTCAATATATAATATAGTTATTAATTACAGAGCATGCAATAATGTTACAACGGTGAAGCAGAAAAGGACTGTATAGAAACGAGAAGATTGAGCTTTGAACAACTCAGGCTATGTTTGGTAAGTTTTTGGGTTTCCATTTCCATTTATTGTGTTTTGGGAGAAGAATTTAGAAATAAAATAAAGTTTGTTTGTGTTTTGAGAGGAGACAATTTGTACTGTAGCAAGTCAAAAAGAAGAATTTAAAATATAAAGTGATTTGATTTTGTATTTTAGTGAAGACAATTTTCACGTAGCGGTCAAATCATGTTTGTTAGAGAGAGAAATATTTGAATTTGTTTTGGGAAAAGTTTTTGAAAATAGTGTAGAAAGATAATTTTCATTTTGGGGAAAATGAGAAAAGAATTCGAAAACGTTACCAAACATAGCCTCAGTATTTGGGTTTTATTAGGGTTCTTATCTGTATCTTCACCGCCTCCACTCAGTGTTATTTCCTTATATATAGGACTCGAGTCAATAGTAGCCGGTGAAGGTATCACCAGAGACTCAAACTATGTCGTACGACGACGTTTGACTCGCAGTTGACGGAGTCGTTAGAAAAGAGGAGAAAGACAGAAATTCGGGTTGAGTTTGTGAGGCTTCAAACGAGAGAGAGAAAATGAGAGGAGTAGAAAGTATTTAAGAGAAGAGATTAAAAAAAAAAAAAAAAAAAAAAAAACCTTGATCCAACGCATGTGATCAGTTTTCATATCTTTCCACATCCACACGCTAAGTGATGCTTTAATTGTATTTCTCTCGATTTTGCCGTTCATCACTCTTAATTTTTTTTTTTTTTGATAAGTAAATCACTCTTAATTAACTGATATAGAATCATTGAAATTAAGTAAGAGAATAATTAATGCAAAATTTTGTTTTAGTCACTTTGTGTATTATTTACCTAGATGAAGTGTACAATTATACAAAATTGCAAAACATAAATATGAGCCAAACTGGCCCCCAGTCAATTGATACTTTTGTAAATGGGCCCTTTTATGGATCAGCCCAATTCTTAATTTTGGGTGAACAAAAAAAAAATGAAACTATAAAATAATAATGATTTGATTATGTATACAGTATATTTGCTAAATGAATTTAATTTTGTGAAATTCAATTTTAAAATCTATTATTTTATACAGGTGTGTTGATATTTATATATCAATTATCGATATATATATCATATATATATAGCTAAGAACACACTTTCCTACCCAAAAACGATTTAGTACTTGAAAAAAGCTACAATGCAAACCCTTCTGCTTCCGGCAGGTCGCTCCTCCGTCGCACCACCAGCTCCGCCGTACAGGGAGGCGGTTTCGAAAATCACACTGTGCAATTCGCCTCCTACTTTCGTCCGTTTCAACGGCAACCGCGATTCTCCTCATTCGTCTCTTTCTTCATCGGAATCACTCAAAAGTTTATCCTCACCTTACTTAAATCTCAATTGCCGCCGCGTAAAAACCCTATCTTCTTCGCCCATTGCCGCTGCTTACACTTCTCCGAGTGATGAGTCTGAAAAGGGGAAACTTGCTCAGGTATTTCTGTGTGTTGGAACAGTGTAATTTTGTGAATTGGGGAATGCGAAATTCGCGATTGCGTGTTTTACGAGATTTCTGAGCTGAGAATTTTCTGTTTTTTGAATTGTATAATTTAAATCTAGGGTTTAAGTTGTGTGTGTGTGTGTGTGTTGAGCGACACTAGTATTACTGATTAGTGGTTTTACAAGGATTGAAACTCATAATTTGGTTAGTTTTTCTGAGCATTTCAAGGAATGCAAGTGTGTTCCCCTTAGAACATGATTAACTTGTGTAGATAATAATTAATTTGGTACAGTAATTGGATACATAAATTAGTTCAAGCTGGCGATCTTAATTATCAATGATGCTTTTGTTATCCCGAAATTATGAAGCGGATTATGATCCAGGATTTAAACCACACGCCTCAGTTATTGTTGCTAGGTATTAACCTAAATCTTTGATTTGCCCTTACCAGCACCTCTTTTAAACTGTATATTTGTTTAGGTTGCAAAGAGATTAGAGAAAACTTCGAGATCTTTCAAGAGATTGGGGAGTTTCGGATTTTGGGGACAGCTAGTTTTAACAGTTGTTGCTGCTGTAATACTTTCATTCTCTATAGTTATTACTGGGAAAATCACTTCACCTGCTACCTTCTATGCAACTGCTGGCGGCGTTGCAGCGGCATTCGTCTCTGTGTTTTGGTCATTTGGCTACATTCGGTTAGCGGACAGACTTCGAAAAACAGCCAATGACCCTTCCAAGGTAATTAACGATCACAAATTTTTGCATTGCTTTTAGATTCCAGAATTTTAGCTTCATTTTGAAAGGAATACGTTCTTTCAAGATCCACTTATCGTAGCATATCATAGCGTAGCCATTTTATGTTCACGGGGCATTACTCTTGAATTGGTTATTATTTTGGTAAAGAGGGTGATAGTCATATTCCAGGATTTCGGTTCTTTTGGTTTGAAGATGTGTGATTGAGGGTCCTCGGAAGAAAGAAAATCGAATTAAAATTTCTAGTTTTAACTGTCAAGGTAAGTTACGGCAGATTTTAAAGATCCTAGTGTATTTCGGCACTCTGTTTAAATTACACATGAATAGGTCCTAACAACAAACACAAATTACTAAGATACTGAATTCCTGCAAAGTATCAAGATTTAATAAATCTCCATAGTTAAAGGAAAAATTGATTCTTTTATTACACTAGAAAGTGAAGTTTATTAGTATTTCCCAATCAATGGCGTTTCTGAGCGTCACTAGTCATGGCAATTCCGTTCTTGACCTCTACTTTGACTTTTACTATTCAGAAGAGAGTTGTCCTTGCACACTCTCTTACCACTAGTTAACTAGATTTTGATACTGGCCAATTTTCTCTAACTCCCACTAGTATAACAACTTGGTCGCAGTTTAAGAAAGTAGATGCAGTGTGTCATAATAACTCAATGTACTTGCTTTTTTTTTTTCTTTTAAATTTAACTCGAAGCAAATCTTGTGGTTTCAGGCACCTCCTCGTGCAGAGGTTGTAAGAAGCCTGAAAAACGGTATAAGCGTAAATCTATTGGGCATGGGTGCTGCTATACTTGGCATGCAAGCAACAGTAGGTTTGTTGGTGGCGAAAGCCCTCACTACTTCAGCCACTCCTTATTACCAGGGCATCTCTCCTGGGAGCAGTCCTGTTCTTGCATTGGATGTCTTCTTGGTCCAGGTATAATATAATATACCTTCACTAACACAATTCCGAACCTTTATTTAATTCATCGCATATTTGCACTTGAAATCATTCTTGAATTTTGCTAACTATTGGCATCTGCATTTCGTGTGTGCTGGATTTTGCAGGCATCTGCAAACACCATACTTTCGCATTTTATAGGGCTGGTGTGCTCGTTGGAGCTATTGCGTTCGGTTACATTGCCAACTTCTTCGGAAGGTGTTCCTATTCCTAGGATTGCATGAGGTACTTAGAAATGGAGCTGTTCGCAACACGTCTGAATTCGTTTTAAATTGTACCAATCGGGGATCTTGTATTTTTATGCAATTATTGACTTTGTTTTCAATGCCAATTCTGCTTTAGATTTTGATCTTAAGTAAGAACTGATTCGGAATCTTGTAATGCCAAATTTTCATTTGGTAGCTTAAATTCGAGCCATAAAAAATCATTACAATCCATTCAATTTGCATACAAAAATCAACACCATCCACATCCCAACTATATGATTTAACTACCTGAGTTGAATTCGACAAAACAAAACAGAAACGAAAAAAAAACAAATGTTGAAGCACAAGCTCAAGCTCAAGCCCCTGCTTCGGTAAGTGACAACTGGCGCTTCAATTCCACGTCAGCATTCTTAAAAAACTCATCCCACCCACTCCCGGGACTCGTATCCAAGTAATCATACGGAACCGCAGTTTTCAAACCCGGTCGAATACCACATCTACTCTCCACAATCCTAAATTCCAATTCGAATTCATCACCTTCTTCTCTCGACTCATCTTCCAATTCCTCCCAACTAAACATCAACGGAAGAGTCGAAGCACCCCACGGATTGAAATCCAAAACCTTAACCCGCCCATCTTTCGTGACATAAACATCAAACGTAAAACTCTCCGACCCGAATTTCCCCTTCACTTCCTCCACGAAAAAATCCAAAATCATAGCTTTTAAATCACTTTTCCTTTCAAGAAGAGTAGGATAAAAGTTGGTCACTTCCCTTTGACAAATCCCCACAAGTAGTTTATTCAACACAAAGCAACGAAACTCCATCTCCGGCTGAAGAGAAGGGTACCATTTACGAAGAGCAAGGAAGAAACTGGACGGCCTAGACGAAGCCTTATCCACGCACGCGTCGTATGCATGGCAAAGATCGTGGACAATAGAATCGGAAGACTTTAGAAGAAGAGCAATATCGGAGAAATTTTTACATTTGAGATTCCCGATCGAACTTATCCAAGCGGCGTCCTTCGGTGCGCTCCAATTGAGCTTAGGAAAAACAGCACCGCCTAGGGTTTCGATGGATGCTTTGATTTCGGCTTCCAATTCGGGGAAAGAAGGGGGTGGTGAGGGTTGTTCAGATTCATCTTCTGATCCTTCTTCGACAACGAAATCTTCTTCCTCTTCGGGTTTGTGGAGTCTGTTCGGAAGGGCGTCGTCGTTCGTGATTGAAAGAGGGAGAAGGAAGGGGCCGGAATCATCTAGAAGGTACTGGATGAATGACTCCGGAAGCTTGTGGATTCTGGTTTTGACGGATACGGGTTTGAATTTCGGGTACCATTCTTGAATCTGGCATCTGTTTATGTCTTCTGAGTTCATCTCAATGGTTTAATTATGCCGCTGTTTTCTGTGCTGCAACGCATAGTTAACAATTGCTTAGCTTTGACAAACAATAAAAATAAAAAATAAAAAATAATTCCAGTACATACAACCTAATCCGATTCCTTGAAAATGAATTATCGAAGAGTTTGAATTGATTCCGCATGAACAAGTAGTCAAAATTGGGATTCTATGTAAAATAGAAAAATCGAAATCGTTTGAACTGAAAAGTATTTTGTAAAACGTAACGAGAAGATTTTTTATGCTCACCGGCGTTCGGATAAGTCACCGTTCCCTGCCTTACGCACTGGTCGCCGTCGTTCGCTCCGGTCGCCGCCGTTTCGTGTTGGCAGGAATCGCTGATGACTAGGTTTTAGTTCTGTCGAATTTACAACTGATCGGAGAAGGGATGGGTTGCCAAGAAAAAAACGATAAAAAAAATTGGCTGGGTTTTGGGGTACACATGGGCTTTAATTATTTGAAGAAAAAAGCAATTAGCTACAGCCCAATAAGATTTTACTAGAGTATGATTTAGGGTAAATTACAAAAATTTCCCTCGAACTTACTAAACTACGAAAAAATGCCCCCACATATCCGTAATTACCAAAATCCCCCCGATATTTGTTTCCATCTTACACATGCCCCATTGTGGTGTGATGTTTCACGGAATCTTTTTTATACCAGAGAATATTCACTGAAAAATGCCAATTCTACCCCTGCAACGTGGAACAGGTTGAAAGTATTCGGGCGCAAATTTTTAAAAAATTGCCTATGTATACCATGGTAGTTCATATTAGCAATCCAAGAAGTGTACCGACATTGCAATAGTGTTGTTGAAGAAAATGAGGTTCCTGTAATATTCCCTTTGAAATCAAATAGAAAAACCTCAAGAAAGACAATCCCAACAAAAGAGAAGTAGAGAACATTTGAAACTACAAACTGTTTCAGCTTATGAAATAAATTGCTTCGCGTTATTAGAAAAAAAAAAAATCATGTTTCAAGTTTCATAACTTGAAACATAATATATTTTATAATTAATTTTGTTTTTTTACAACCGGAAAAGCGCTTAGTTAAAGACCCTTCCGAATTTAATAACATAGGACTCGAACATCGTGAAATACTCTTTTTTTTCGTTGTGATTCAGGGTTATGGATGTAAAAGAAAATTCCGGAGTAACCCGAAGCGGCAAAACTGCAGAATCAATACTAATGTTCACATTAGCACCAACAACATATCCAGTAAATTGCTTAGAATGACAAAAATTACAATCAAGAGGAGTTCAAAAATCGTGAAAGTTGAAATCTTTACAAGCCGCACACGCATACAGGCTACAGCCTTCTTCTGCTAAGGATCTCAATATCGATTTCATCGGAGGCTAAAATGTTAGGCAATCAGCATAAAGGTACCTACAAATCGCATTTGACATATTAAACACACCAGACACAAATACACCACAGTTGCATTAATAAAATAAATAAACTGTTGTGTATATGTAATCTGAAGCAAATTACACACTTGTAAATGCAAAGTTTCCAGTACTCAGTTTAAGCAAATCAAACAAACGTAGATCCTTTCATCGAAGCATACAAAGTAAGCTATGGCAATCTTGTAATAAAACACAAGCACAAGGCTCACCTAAAACACATGTACAGATAGAGCGATTGATATATATATAGAGAGAGAGAGAGAGGAAATAGAGATATTACAGTGAATCTACTGAGTCTTCTTCTCCTTGTTTGAAGGCCATACAACCTTGCTGAGTAACTTGTCGTCAATCATGCGGTATTGTACCAGAGCTATTTTATATGCCGCACTCAGCTTGATATCAATTGCACTTTGGTATTTGTCATACACTACGGGTAGCGATAGACAAAGCAGAACACCTGTTTTTTTTAGCAACATCACAAAATACAAACTGTTAATCGAAAAACCGAAAAGGTAAATATTGTACGGCAGAGAAATTTCGGACTTACCGATGTAGAGGAGTGTAAGAAAGTTGAATAAACCGCCAATGTAGGATACAATCCACAATCCTATTGCAAGCTGATAAAGAAACCGAATAATTTTTACCACTCGATCGATAAATTATTGAGAAGTAATTCAAGAAGACGAGAAAAATGTAGCACCTGAGTAAAGAGTCTCAAGTTTCCACCAATTGCAATGTCGTGCGCAATTGATAATGCAGAATTTACCCATACTAGCATCTCGTCGGCAGCCTTTACGACAATCTCTTCGGAAACATCAAGATTTGGGAGAGGTGGCAGAGGTCTAAATCCATGGAGACAAATTCATTCAATCAGAATCGAACAAAACAAACTACAAATCACAACACCAAACCAATGAAAAACCCCCAAACACGAAAACCCTTGTACATTTTAAGAAAGAAGCATGAATTAGTTTGCAGAGTAAGACTCGAAAAAACAAAATCAGTAACAAGATCTAAAGAGTAAAGAATAAGGAATATAACAATCATAATAAAACAAGCACAAATTATTAATCTACCTATTGAGAAGTGATGCAGATTTAGCCCAAAGGAACAAGATCACAACGAGCAAGAACAAAACATTCGATATAAACGATAACAAATTGTATCCCGCTCTCTCGAATAGGAACCAAAACGCAGTCGAAGCAACAAGCAAAACGACGCTCCGGTGCCACTTCTTCCACAACAACACGTCAGCTACTGCATCACGCAATACAGAAAATGAAACAATTATTCTTAAACGCTGCTCAAAATTAATAATTAAAGAAGACTGCAACTAATTGAAACGGATCAACAGCCGATTGAATCAAAAAACGCTACAAACCAATGTACGCATATATAATTTCGATGAATCGGGTGAATTGTAACTGAATGGTACGATACGATCATGCATATATAGAAAAAATACCTGAGCCACCACCAAGCGCGAGATGAACAGAGAACTGATGAGGTTCTCCCATGGCGAATTAGGGTTTTCCGATGATTGAAAACGGATACTTCGATTAGGAGGGGGATTTGATTGAGACGACGAAGGGAGGGAGAATTTGAAGGGGAAAGAGGAAATTTTACTCTGGGAGTAGTAAAATTAGGTGTGATTTTAATTAATTTCTGCTCCAGAGCTAAATAGCATCTTCCCCTGTTTATAAAGCTTTGTTTTGTTGTAAAGTATGGCAACTTTTAGTATAATTAATAGGATTAAATGAAAAGAAATACTCATTGAAAAGAGAAGCATAATTATTTATCATTTAATACAAATTACGAAAATAAACCTTCAGGTAAGGTTAAATTACGGAAAAAAAAAAAACAAAAAAAACCTGAGGTAAGGCCTAATTACGAAAACTCTTCTTGTTTGAGTAATTACAACTGTACAAGTGAACTTGAGGGATGGTTGTAATTACCCAAGCATGGGGTTTCGTAATTTGATCTACCTTAGGGGTCGGCCGTAATTTGGCAAAAAGAGAAATACACATCTTCGTATTGGTTTGTTCTTCACTACGTTTTCCTCCGTGTTAATATGGTCTACTAGTACGGTTCGTTTTTTGTAGAACTTACATCTGGTGAAATAACACACACGTGTATGTGTTAGTTATTTATGTAGATCTATAGCATAAAATCACATAAATTATTTCGCCAGGTGTAGAATTTCATACGTCTATAGCTCGTATAGGAGTGTGAATCGAATCGTAAGTTTCAATTTGCATCAGTTTTCGATCGGAAAGATTTTGAAATAGGAATTCAGAAAAGTCAATGTATGATCCATATTAGATCTGACCAAAAGAGTTCCGATTTTAGGATCGAAATTGAAATATGTATACAAGATTCTGGTTTTCCATCCGATTTAAATTTTTGAAATAATTTCAAACATTCCATTTTTTCGAAATTTATATTTTACAATATCCTTATTTTATATGTGAAGAATTTCAGACAATTCTCTTTTTTCCAAAAAATATTTAAATAGAAAAAATACAAAATCATTATTCACAATACTTCGAAAAACCAAGAAAGCGTGAAGTGAAAAATTGCCCTGTCACCAGAAAATGGTTAAACAGAAAATGGTTAAAGCCAAGTGACAGTTGGTAAGCTGAACCAACATACGGTAGTTTCGAGTTTACTCAACTTTCATGCATACATGAGCTTTACTGCGTGTATGCTGCGCAACTGGTTCAACAATCTATTCTCATTTATCAGAAAATAGTTCAGAGAACAACCAATGCTTCCGTAAACAACATCAAATCACCAAAAAAACGAGGGGGAAAAGAAGAAGAAAGAAAACATATTAAAAAGAGCGCAACACATAATTTGGAACCAATTCACCAGTATATTACTAATAAACGCAACGGAACATGCACGAATTAAGTGCAGATTTGAGAGGATACAAAAAATTCACCAAATCGAAAAGACAATGCATTTGCCATTTGATAGATACGATGATAATGACTCTAAACCAAACACTAGTTAATATTTCCTCGAATCTACTGTTCAAAACAAACATGACATTTGTGTAAACTACACACAACCTGGAGATTTTAGTAATTGTCTGAATCTCCATCCTCATCTGAAGATTGTTCCTTCTGATGCTCGTCACCGACAACTCCATCTGGTTCGCTCTTCTTTCCTTTCTTCCTTTGTTTCTTCTTCTGACGTTTCAACCTCTTTTTTGCTGTACGCTCCTCTGCAGCTTTTAATCTTTCATCCCTTCTCTGGGCAAATTCAGTTGCTTCTTTCCTTTTCAGGAAGTCAACATCCATTCTTGCTAGCCGATCTTGTTCTTTCCGTCTCATTTGACGATACTATGAAAGAGAAAGAGAGAAAAAAAAAGAGAGTCAAGATTTGTTTTATACCCCTCCCTCACTTAAATGGGGCTACATTAACGAAATGAACCAAGAGATGCACTAGACGTGAATGAGCCATGATTCTGTTCACGATTTATTTAACGAAATATGTATTGAAAACTACAATTTCTTTCAACTTCTAGGCATAAAATAGTTATACATGAATATGCAACACAGTTTTTGTACATAATACAACCACAATATTCCCCACACGCACTAAAATTTCTGGATTCGAGCTATTAAAACGATCACATTTATATAGTCCACATAACACACCTTTCATTCTTCTATATAGGCTCTTCTCCATACATTGACTGTTCACATAATTTTTCCTTTCTGCTCAAGGGTTAGTTTGGTCAAGGAGAAAACAAATGAATTATCTTCGACCAATTCCATTCCTTCCAAAGTTGTTCAATGTAATATCTACAAGAAGCTAAAATGAACTTCCTCACATTGAAGTGAAACAACTACTCTCGTTAAAACTAATGGAACCACTAAATCAATTCAGAAGATTCTAAGTTATGACATAAAAGTTTACTGCTTATAAATCAATTATATTTTCGACAATCTCAAGGAATAGACAGACATAGTTATACTCATTTTCTTACATCAATAAGAAGGTTCACAATAATACCATAAGAACATGTATAAATCAATAATGAAACCTTGAAATATCATAATCAATAACCACACCAGTTCACATAGTTAAGCCAATGGAATAAAAGATAGTTGAGTGTCAAAATCAAACACTGTGAATATTAATTTCAAACGAACTTTGCCAAAGCTGTGAGAATCAGAATCGTTGAATACCATATAGTGTTCAAAATGAACACAGAGCAAGCAGTACCTGATGGAAGTCACCAGAGCCGGAACCGGCGGAACTGCCGGAGGTGTTGCTGACGCGAACCGGGACGCATTCCAGAATGCGCCGGAGCTTAATTTCAAGGTCCTCGTCTTCGGGGTTGGCGGCAGGCGCTTTGTACTCAACTAGAGCCGAAGATGAAGCAGAAATAGGAGGAACTGTCAGCGGATGACGCGGCGGGAGACCGGGCGGAGCCCTCTCCGCCACCGGAACCATCTGCAAATCTCCCGCAGCGACGGAAGTCCTTCCCGACGACGATGACATTTGCGATTTTTTTTTTCTGAAACCTAGGGTTTCGAATTTGGGGATTACACGATAAGAGTGTTGGCGAGAATCAAAATTTGGGGAATTGATTTTGTACTGATTCCGAAGTCTAAACGAGTTCAGCGGGAACCTGAATCTAAACCCACCGAATAATGATTTGGGGCAAACATTTTTCTCGTCAAATAAGAATGGTAAAATAAAATAAATAAATAAATAAAAGAAGAACTTCTTTCTATTTTATTCCAAATATACCCTTTCAAAAGTGAAGAAATATAAAGCAGAAGAAAACCTTCATATGTTAATTCGCAGCGATCTAACGGAGGGTTGCGAGCACCGTTCCAAAGAACACCGGCCGGTTTTCTTCCCTACCGGAAAATTTCCAGGTATGCTTTGCACCGATCTACATTTATCGTTCTTCAATTTTTTTTTTAATTGTTTGGCCGTATCTTTCGAGATTTCCCGCCTGCAGTTGAACAGTCGAAAAACCACTATCATTTAATCCGGAAGCAGCTCTCTGTTCACAATCAGCATTTTTGATTAACGATTGATTCAACTATATTTTTTTTTTAAATATAGTAAAATATTAATTATATGCTTACCAGTTACCACTAGGATTCACTTTTAGTTTAAACTGGTTCGAACGCCAGATTTGAGATTGAGAGGCATCGTTCATTCTGGTGATTTTGTGCTTATGAATAAGTTAGCTGTTAATTGACTATGGATGACTAATTGACTGTTAATCCTTAATTAGGGTTACTTCCACTGGCTTACTGCCTTAATTTCTTTTGAAGCAGGGCTATGTTTATTTCTATGGCATTTGATTCAAATTTGTCGGTTCTTCACCTCTTCGGTTGCAAAAATTAAATAAAATAAAAGAAAATATTAGTAGCAGTAATTAGGAAGGTTAGTGGTTAACATTTTCTTGTTTTTGCTTGTCGACTAGGTTATACAAAGTGAACAAAAGAGGAACGATATGTCTAACAAGTTACAGATTGAAGGGGATGAATCGGTTCATTTACGTATCACTCATTCCAACATCAAGAGTTTTTCTGCTGATGTTCGGTTCTCTCTACAAGTAAGGGAGTTTTATCTATCTTCTTTTAACTGTCCGATGCTTGATTGTTTTTTTCCGCTCTTGTTACATGTATCTGATTTGTGATTTCAGTGTTGACCAATTTATGAAATCGACAAAATTGAAATCCCAAACAGATTAGTTATTCAGCTTGCTTCTTATGGGCTGATGCGTAATTATGTTCACTTTTTATCAGATGACCGTAGAAGCTGTAAAAGAGAAATTATGGAGAAAGTGTGGCACTTCTGTTGAGTCAATGCGCCTCGAGCTTTATGATGAAATAGGTGCTAAAGTCGCAGATCTAGTCGACGACACAAGACCTCTTGGTTTCTACTCTCCACAAGATGGGTTAGTTTAGAAACTTCACGTTTCCTGCATTCTTCTCTCGTCGCCTGAACTATATTCCGATTTTTTGACAATTATTTTAATATCTTCGGTCGAATTAATTTATTGTGAATATCATTTCTCGCTAAATCGTTATTCGTATTAGTTGCCATATTTGGGGTCGCTTGTGTCTTAGTTTTACTTGACAGCCCTTTTTTCACAGTTCATTGGCCATTCGTCACTCATGGTACATGATTAATAACATAAGATTACAACTGTTGTTTGGCTGTATAAAAAGAATCTTTATCCATAGTGACCACAATTATTTCAAAATATTCTTGCTACAGTTTCTTTTGTTCTAAGTATTTGTTTGCTGTTTCTTAGTTTCCGGCTGCACGTCATTGATCTTGATCCATCATCGGTAACATCTGGTGGTTGGTTGGAAGATACATCCCTTGTGGAGAAATACAAAATTTCTGATGAAGCATACGGCAAACTTGATGGTATGTTTTAATCTTTAACGGGTGGGATAATTCTTTATCTTATACCCTTGTCTGAATAATTGGGACCACATTGGGTCATTGGTTATTCATCTATAGTCTACACACAACATTCTTTGCCTCGGATAAAACATGTTAGAACTTATTCCTTTCTACAAATTCTTCGTTGGTAAGTTGTAGAAATAGAGATGATACGGGGTAAGATAGCATTTAGTTTTTACTGTATAATCATTAGCTGTGGAATTGGCCAAGTTACTTGATTTTTTTTTGGTGCTTGATTATATGTCTACATGTTTAATTTTACTATCATAATAGTTCTACATTTACTCTCGTTTTTCTTGCTTAAAATTTTATTTTCTAGAATATGCATGTAAGTCGTGAGCCTTTTATTTCCGATATTTTGCTTACTGATGAGGGCAGGATGCAAAATAATTAATTTATTGTTTGTTTCAGGTACTTACAAAAAGTTTAAGGAAAGAATGGGATCCCAACATTCAAATCCCGAATCGAAAGTATGCATTTCTCCTTTTTCTCTATGTGCTTATAATCTTCTGATTCTTCCCAAGCTTCATTTCATTGGTTCAGAATTATCCTGTCTTCCTTAACAAAGAAATATATTATTTCTTTGCTCGTTACTCTGTAAATTCTTTTGAATTCCGTTCGTCTTAAATCTGAAATCACATTTCTGTGAAGAAGCTTATAGACTTATCATTTACAATGCAACCAGTAATGATTTCTTACGTTGTCGAAAATTATTGCTAAATTGGTTTCTTATTTTTGTCTCTCTCATTATCTTAGTTTTCTTTCCTACATGCAGATTACGGACAACTACATGGAGGATCTTTGTACGAACATAAGGGTTGGTTCACTATTTTCTCTTATACTCATTTCGGTTTTATTTATTGCTTTTCTTATTTTTTATAACTCTATTTTTTTTGGTTTAAAAAAAAGGTTGGAGAGAGATGTCAAGTTGAACCAGGTGAGAAAAGAGGTGTTGTCAAATTTGTCGGTCGAGCAGAAACGCTTGCACCTGGCTTTTGGGTTGGGATTCAGTACGATGAACCTTTGGGTAAACACGATGGCATGTATGTATTTCTCTATATATATTGTATATCTATACACACACACATATATATATATATATATATATATATATATATATATATATATATATATATATATATATATATATATATATATATATATATATATATAGTAAATTATACTAAACCTTTTGGTTACAGGGTAAAAGGAAAGCGTTATTTTGATTGCCCCCCTCTTTGTGGAGGAATAGTCAGACCAGATAAAGTCAAGGTTTGTCCTAAATAACTACACATTTTTGCAAATTGCCATTTTTATCCACACCCTTAAAATAAAAACCCCGATTCTTTTCGGTGAGGCAATACAGTAATCGTTGTTTTATTTATCACAATTTCCAGGTTGGCGATTTTCCAGAACGAGATCCTTTTGAGGAAGACGAAATATGAGTTGATTGAAACGGCACGTATTATTTACTTTATTTTGGCGCGGAATTTGCCTTAAAATGTTACTGAAACATCTTAAGATGATGTAATGTAAGGCTTAAAACAAAAATGCATTTGTGAGTGAAGAAAATTGTGAACAAGGACATGTATTTTTATTTTCTTTTACAAATTGTTCCATGTTGCTTCTTTATTTTGTTTCAATATGAATATTAATTAATTAATAAGATTAGTTTTGTAAATTTGAATTTGAAATTAGTTAGCAAGTTAAATAAAAATAGGAAAGTTTTCCCAACGACTAGAAACAATATTTGGTTCCCTAATATGGACTCCTCCTCCATTCAATTCTAAAGCAACTTCCATAACGGCACGAGTCCAAATAGGTATATATAACGCCCCACCGCCGAGATTTTATTTTATAATTTTTTTAAATATAAACCTCCGAAATTGTTTTAACCGACACGTGTCCTTCCACCTATATAACCCAACCGCCTAGGTATCGTAACCGATCAACATAACGCTCCCCCGCTCCTCCTCCTTAACCGGTTCAATCAGTTGCCAAATCCCCTTTATATACTCAAACCCCTAGTACATATACAGAGGACTCTGTATCTATATAACTGCTCGAATCAAATATTCAGATTTTTTTCCGGTTAGGGATTTACCGGCTTGTGTATGCGTTGATTTGATCTATGGCGGCGGAGAAGGAGGTTAGCGACAGGATCAAGGGGCCGTGGAGTGCGGAGGAGGACGAGTTGTTGAAGAAATTGGTTGAGCGGCACGGCGCTAGGAATTGGTCGTTGATATGCCGATCGATTCCGGGGAGATCGGGGAAGTCGTGTCGGCTGCGGTGGTGCAATCAGCTCTCGCCGGAGGTGCAGCACCGCCCGTTCACGGCGGAGGAGGACGAGACTATTCTCAAGGCGCACTCCGAGTTTGGGAACAAGTGGGCGTCGATCTCGAGGCTGCTCGTCGGCCGCACCGATAACGCGATAAAAAACCACTGGAACTCGACGCTCAAGCGGAAATTCGCCGCGGATGCGGCGGCCTGCGGCGGCGGCGGGGAGGAGGAGCGGCGGACGCAGGTTTTGAGGCGGAGCGGCTGCCGAGATATTTCCGCGGCGATGAGGCACGGATTGAATTTGATCAGTCACGAGAGCAATTCAGATTCAGAATCCAGCGACTCCGATAACAAAGCGAACTTGTATTTTCCGGTGACGAGGAGCGAATTGGCGGCGCCTCAGAGGAAACCGCCACCCACGGTGGTGGATGTGGAAAGTATAAACGACACTGATTTAACGGCGTTAACTCTTGGTCTGCCAGGAACTAGGAGCGATTCATCTGAAAAGTCGATCGGTGTTAGAGAATCTCGACGGAGTCAGGGTTCCGGCGAGAGCAGCCGGTTTCCGATCACGGCGGAGGAAGAGGAAAATAAACCGCCGTCTTTAGCACCGGAGTTACTCGTGGTAATGCAAGAGTTAATCAGGAAGGAAGTGAGAAATTACCTTTCAGAACATGGAGAGATTAACCCCGGAATTAAACGCAGTGGCATAAGCAGGATTATTGATTAATTTTTTAGTATTGACAGAAAAGTCCCTGAAAGAACCACCACCTCTGAAATTCTCTCTTCTATTTTTTTTTTTTTTTTTTTTTTCATTTTTTAATTGCTTTTGCAGATAAGATGAAGAAAAAATCTTATTTTCTTGAATTGCGGAAGGGAGTGTGAGAATGGTTATTAGGAGTGATGAAAGTTTGGGATTGGTTTGGAAATTTTAGGAAGAAATTCCTGATTTGTTTGAATTCTAATTAGTTGAAATTTATTAAGAGAGCAATTTGTTTCATGTGAATGTGTTTTGGTGTAGCTGGTAGGCCGGGATTTTCGATTTCTGCCGATTCTGATTTTCGAAAATTCCGCGATTTGGAACAATATTTTTCAATCTGAATTCTGAAATATCAAGCTTCGATTTTTTCTGAAATAATTTGGATTAAAATTGGAATAAATATACGAGATTCTGATTTTCGATCGGATTTTAAGCTCCAAAAATTTCATTTTTTTCAATTTCAATTTTCCTTCCATTTTGAACGGAATTCGAACTAGTTTTGAACTTCTAAAAAAATCAGAGTTTTTCTAGAAGGCTTATGCCGTTCCGGTCCATTCCATTTACATCCGTAAGTGTGATTATATTTTTGTATATATTTTCGTTTAGTCTTTTATTTATGTATATTTTCAAATTTCAAAATAAATTCAATTTCTTCAAAAATAAAGTGAGATGTCTGTAATTCTGTATTACTCAATTGTATTGATAAATATTCTTTAATATTTTGTCTTTCAAATATTTATATTTATATAAATAATTTATTATAGTTTTCGGGTAAATTAAATTTGAGATGGTTGTAACTTGTAAGCCCATTATTTTTTTTTCGGGTAGTTTTTTGCTATTGGGGTTTTGCACTCACAAAGCCTAATATCGACTGGGCCGTTTATCATAACGCTCAACTGAAGCCCAAATCCAAAATGTTTTATTTATTTCTATTAACCCATTAATAATACAAGTTAAATAAATATTCAAAACATTATCTTTAACACGTGGATAAAAGTGAGAGTTTTATCAAGTATTGGAAAGATGATGATGATGATTATGAATAGTTCCACCACAATCACAAACCTTACCCACTCACCAAATCTGAAAAAGAATATAAATTTGGTTGCATCTATATAATAATAATAATAATAATAATAATAATAATAATAATAATAATTCAATTTCGTTTTTATATTTATTTTTTCCTTTTTTGGGGTTGGTGTAGTTATCAAAGAAAACGTAGATGCCAAGCTTGTTATGTTGATAAACTCACAAAGACAAGTAATCCAAATGAAACCAACCAAAAGGATTTTGATTATAGTCAAAGAAACCATATCTACATATTTCCCCACCTTAGCTTTCACAATCACACCAACTTCTATCCACTCATACAATGTAAAACCAAATCCCACTTCCAATAAAATAAACAAAAGCCACATTCCATTGCAAAAAAAGAACATCAATTTAATTGCTCAGAGATCCAGAAAGAAGAAGAAGACTTCAATATGTAAAAAGACACATGTGTCCCAATACATATATAATGAAACAATAACCAAATAATAGTGTTTGTGTTTCTTAGGAATTATTATTATTATTATCATTATTCAGTGATATGATCAAGTTTGCTTCCGGCAACATCAACGACGAATCGGTACCTAACGTCGTTCTTTTCGAGCCTCTCGAAAGCGGTGTTGATGTAATCCATTTTCACGGTCTCGATTGTTGAAGTTAGTCCTTTTTCCTTGCAAAATTCCAGCATTTCCTCTGTCTCTTTCATGCTTCCAATGAAACTCCCTGTTATACTTTTCCTCCCTTCAAAAAATTAATGTCACCAAATTATAAACATTTGTGATAAATCATAATATAGTCAAGATCAGTTGGTATTAAAATTAAATAAACCAACAAATTTAGTTGCAAGTTAGGTAACTTCTGGCAATTAAATTAAAAATATCGACCATGTGCCATATCGAATTCGAATTGCAAATAAATCCTTACTGTGCATTTTTTTTGCAACAATTAGGGGTAGTTTGCTAATAAAATTGAACCACAAGGGGAAATTTTGATAATATATATATATATATATATATATATATAATGAGAGGAGTTTTTCAACAATTAAAATAGATGTCGACGTTTTTTCGTGGAATAATCCCTGTAGTAAAAAACATTTCGTAAAAAATCACACTGTAAGGGTTGATGTTATATTGAAACAAACATTGGGAAAATTTTGGTAATTACGGATAGTTGTGGGTATTTTTCATAATTTAGTCTAAAGTTTAGGGGGTTTTCATAATTTACGTATATTCAGCGGTGCTAAATGCAATTAAATTAAACCCAAGAATTAAAAAAAAAAAGCTTACCAAGCATAACCATGGGAGTGACGAATTGCAGGGGAGTATTTATAACCCCCATCAAAATCAACTTGCCGTCGATTTTCAGCAACGAAAGGTAAGGCTCCAATGGGTGGAACACCGGAATCGTGTCGATTATGTAATCGAGGGTGTCGGCGATTTTTTCCATCTGATCGGCGTCGGAGCTGACTAGGTAGTCGTCGGCGCCGAGGTGGTCCAGCGCCTCCGCCCTCTTCCGATCGGAGGAGCTTATGACGGTGACGTGGTGGCCCATCGCCTTGGCGATTTTGACCCCCATATGGCCCACGCCTCCCAGACCTAAAATTCCGCCTCTCAGCCCGCTCGATTTCAGCCCGAAATGGTTCAGGGGGCTGTAGATTGTCACCCCTGCGCATAGTAGCGGCGCCGCCTGCTCCGCCGCCATCCCATCTGGAATTTTCACCACGAATCTGTACAGTTGGAAATAAACCTCCGTCTTAAAGTTAATTTTAGTAAAAAAAAATGAGGTGTTTATTGCATTCAGCACCCTGTGTTTTTTTTAAATTGCAAAAAGACCTCCATTGTTACTTTAATAGCAAAATTTACCCGTGAGTCAATTTTTTTCAGCAAATTACACCCTAAAAGCTCACTATTTTTAATTTTCCGAGGATCTTTTTTAATAATTCAATATAAAAAATAGAAGTACTAAATGAACTTTTTTTTGTGTGTTTTTCAAAACATTAAACAAGCTAGTAAGATAATTAAAATTAATAATTAAATAATGGAAATTGGAAACGAAAAAATACAAATTTCATCCCTCAAGTTTGTATTGATTCTACATTTGGTCCCTCGTGTTCATTCAAAACACATTTGGTCCCTCATGTGTCAAAAATTCAACACTTTTAATTATTCCCGTCAAATTTCCGTTAATAATAATGGAATCAAGCATGTGTCCAACACTGCCTTAACTGACGAACTAACTTGACGAAAAATGTCAAATTATTGAAACATGAGGGACCACACATGGAATCAGTTGAAATTTGAGGGGTGAAAATGTAATTTTCGAAAATGGGTAAAAAAGCTTACTTTTGGTCAACAACCATGGCAGTAGCGAAACCACCTTGGGTGGGTTTGCCATCAGTGTAAACATCATTGTAAGACCAAATCTTCTTGCTGCAGTATTGCTCTATGTCCGCATTACACGGCCTGCAGTTCCTACAGCATCCTACGATGCACCCTACTCCCACCACATCTCCTACCCTGAACTTGCTCACACCTGATCCCACCTCCTTCACTTCTCCCACCACTTCATGACTGTCATTCATGTTAATTATTAATTACACTAATACACAAAATAATTAAATGTGTATCTATATTAATCTGTAAACTATGACCATTTAATAGGATTAATGTGTGTGTGTGTGTGTGTGCGTGCGTGAGAGAGAAAGGAGTGTTAGAGAGAGAGAAGTGGGACCCACCCCCAAGACAACCAGCGACGAATGATATATATATCCTTAGACTCAGAAATCAGAATTAAGTCCAAAAACACACACACCACACCGTCAACTGCGTGCTGAATTAAAATAAAATAATAATAAAAAAAAGAGAGAGGGAGAATATACCCTGGAACCATGGGGTAATTGGACATGCCGAGGTCATTCTTAATCTGATGGATATCTGTGTGACAAATCCCACAGCATGTCACCTTCACATATACATCTTCAGCCCCCGTCTCTCTGTAATAAAACAAAATATATATATTTATTTATTTATCAATGACCAATTAAACAAAAAAAAAGGAGCAATCTTGAAAAATGAAATAAATAGAAAATAGAAAACCTGAGTGTGTATGAATAGGGTGAGAGAACACCAGAAGGGTCTCGTGCAGCCCATCCCACTGTTTTCCTCTCCATTTCTATACTTCCCATTTTTTTTCTTTTTCTCTTATTTTTTTTTTTTTGATTTGATTTTCTCAGTTATGCTGCCTGTACAGACATATGATATTATTACATATATATATAGAAAGAGAGAGAGAGAGAGAGGAGAGAGATGGGAAAAGAAATATATTTTTTTTTTTTTACAGAAAATCAAATGTGCGACATCTCAGCAAAGTACAGTTGGGCTAATTGGGGTTGGTGAATGCTGCTTTCCTTTTATTTATTTATTTATTAATAATTTATTTATCGCAATTGGAAATTAGGTAAACAATTTGTTGAAGAATGTTAGTAAATATGACGATTTTAAGTTCAGAAAGAAAAAAAAAATATTTCATGAATCTTTTATCTGTTTTGACTGGAAACATTTGAAATTTATTTCATATGCTGATTTTACTTAATTAAATTAAATTAAATTAAATTCTCAGAGTATAATTTCTTTTATATAAATGAGAATCTGCAAAGTATTGAGTATTACTTTTGAATTTTGATAATAAGATCGTTAGGTCAAATGCAACGTCACACAGTCGTCAGCACTCTTTCACAACAAAGGAAGAGTTTTATTATGTATTTAATTTCTTTTATTTGGTATTTACCATAATTGAATATGTATTAAAAAAAGAAAAAGAAAAATGGCCATAATCCAAAATGTTGGTTCGAGTTGGTGGTTGGAATTCTTTGAGGCAAAGCGACTTTGATATATGCATGCCGCCAAATGCCAATACATATATGTAATATGATATATATTATGTATGTATATCACTTTGATTATTAGGATTATTTTTTTTTTTTTATTGCTGTGAGGTACTAAAGGGTTTTCATGAGTTGATGGGATCATTATCTATTTAGGGATAATTAATTATTCTTATTGCAAAAAAGTAGTTGGCTTAAAACAATATAAGATTATGTTTGAGAAAATGATTAAAGAATAAAAGAAACATTTAATTAGGGTTTTTAAATGTAGGGGTCTTAATCCCTAGTGATAAAACTAATTAGAATTAAATGACAAGCTCAACTAAACATTTGCTTCACATCTTTTATAAAATTTATTCCGAAAATGCCCTTTCACTCATCTTTATTTTTTCAATTTTCACTCTAACATTTTTCTACATTATTATAAACAGTTTTTTTCCTTATTTTTTATATTTATGGGAAATACGGGAAAAAAAAATTGTTAAATAATTCAACA